AGCCGGTCTCAGAGAGGAACTGTTGCCAACATTGTGTAGAAGTTTTAAGATTTGGCCCACAAAATATCTATACAGTCAAGTCACATTACAGTATAATCTGTGAAGTTTATAATATAATCTCAAAGACATGATAAGGCGCTACATTAAGTGCAAGGATTATTATTATTATTATTCAGATTTTCTCTTTGGTCCCAGGCCTTTGCTTGGAAACTAGTTGACAAGAAGTTCCCAGGGGTGAACTTCCAGAGGTGACACTTGGATTTTGTTTCCCCCTCCCTTCTCCCTTGTGCCTATGAGCCCAGGTGCCAGCCTGGATCAGTTGGTTGCACTCTCGCCTCACGAAACGGAAGGTCTGTGGGTTCAAGCCCCAGGTTGGGACTTTGAAGTCACATCATCTCGGCTGATCCTTCAGTGCTTGGGGGGAAACATTGTTATTGTGAGGTCGTTGCTATGTGCAAAATGACTGTTGCGTTCCCTTACAAATTATACAGTCACTACAGTTTCCAGTCAATTTTGTGAAGTGTTTGAGATGCTTCTCCCCTCACCCCCCCTCCCCACTTATGTGTAAGTAGTGATATCAAACACAAGACTGATTATTATTGTTAATTACTATTATGTATGTCTATACTTGTGTTGGGTCAACAAGCTGCATTGCATTGCCCCCCCACCCCACCCACCCCCCAGGGAGTGTACACATGTAACACAGTAGAGTCACCACCCATTAAAAGTATGTGGTAAACACCCAGAAATTACCCTAGAGCCAATCCTGGCAGCTTTTAATTGAAAAAGAGAGTGTAGAATGAAAGACATTAACACAGACAGACAGGTCAATAGCAGTGATTATATATCCATCATAATCACAGAATAAGACATATTATAGAGTCTAATTTGCAGGTTGGGTTAACCCGTTTGCACCCATTTGTGTATAAAGGGAATTACAATTGCTTTTAATCATACAATTCACAATCAATGCAAAGATGACAGACTCACCCGCAACTTTCCCATTATACAATTAAGGGGACCGATAATTCCTTCTGTACTCCTGCATTTGCAAGTGGTTAACCCAACATGCAAATTGCGCTCATTGCTTCACTCAACCCAGAAATGAGACCCATGTTAGTTCTGAATGTGATTGCATCAAGGATTGAGAACATGACCCTTACTTACTCCCTCTGAATGATTTACATCAGTGTCCCCACTTAATAAGCCGTCTCAGATCCATAGAACACTTCAGTCAAGTGTCTTGGGTTAGAAGGTTGAACTGGCAGCATTACATAGAGAAAAATGGATAAATGGGAGAGATTACAAGGGGAGGCTGAAAATCTAATCTCTAATCAAAATAAAAATGACTCAGACATCTCCGAGAATCTTAGATTTCCGAACCTTGAGCCGGGGGAAGCAGGGGCATACATTCTTGAAATTACTTTTTGCTCCCCCCCCCCCACAAGAAAAAACAAGCACAGACACATTTAGATTGGCGTGGAGACTGTTTCATGCCTGGTTCGTACCATTGAGTACAAAGTGATATGGCTCTCAGCAGTGAAGAGATGGAAAGTAAGAAGCCTAATTAATAATAATATTATGATTAATATAATAATAATCTTTCCAATTGATGCAGCGCCTTTCACATCAAGCGTATGTCTCACCGTGCTTCACAAGATACACTGTAAAGCGTAGTGACTGTAGTGGGCGATAGTCCTTGTATTGTATTGATAGTCCACAATGACGTCAAAGGCGCTATATCAAATGTAAAGATTATTATTATTATTTGATATAGCGCCTTATCACGTCTCCGAGACGTCTCAAAGCGCTTCACAGAATCTATTGTAAAGTGGAGTGACTGTATATTTTGTGGGTGAACTATTTCTGGGGAGCTTCGTTTCACCGAAATTAATGAGGTGCAGAGAGCAGGAGGTGGTCTCTAGGGATCAGTCTCCGTTCTCAGCATGAAAATATAATGTGACTGTTTTGCGTTTAGGTGAAGCTACAGATTGTGTTTGACTTCAGCCGCAGATGCCTGCTTACATATCAAACACATCAATAAATCTAAAGGGTAAATACACACACACTCCTCTCCACCATCAGAATCCTCTGCTGCTCCATAGGGGAGACAAGACACAGGAGAATGACTGAAACCAGGCACTTAAGGGAGTTCCTAATCTCAACATTTCCATCATCAGTTCAGTCTTGAGTTAACTAACATCAATTGACTACCTCATTTGTGGGGGGGCGAGGGGGGGGGGGGGGGGGGCGAGAGGCAGGAGGTAAACAGGTTCTCTGTGACTCAAGGGTCAGGTAATTGGCAGCAAAATGTCAGAATCGGGACCACCCTCTGTGGCAATATTGCTAGTTCGGTTCCTGAGCCTGATGGTTCTGCAGTATTCCAGGGCACTGCTGACGGCAAACTAGCCAGACTGACAAATTGGCAGTATGTGGAAGGACAGACTGACACTAAGGGCAGAGATTCTTCCCACTCAGCTCCTGTTCAACAAGCAAAGCCAAAGCCCTATCGAGTAGAATGGTCCTAGTTTGACAAGCAGCGGGAAAGCTTGCCAGAAAAAGGTCAGATTTGGCCGAAGGCCAGACACTCCCCCCCTCCAACCACCGCCCACCATGGGACGCAAAATGACCCACAGTCATGTCACTGTCCTCCTGAAATGAGCATCTGACTCACATCCCAAACAAGAAGTGTGTGTTTGTGCCTCTGTATCCTGTGTCTCAGACATCTGAGACAGCTGCTCTGAAGACTAAAGGGATCACATACAGGGCCAACAAACCCAGATTTAACAGAAGTATTCAAAATGATGAGGGCTTTTGATAAGAGTAGATGGGGAATAGATAGATAAGAATAGAAACTGTTTCCTCCGGCAGGTGGTTCATTAACCAGAGGGCACAGATTTAAATGAATTGGCAAAAGAACCAGTGGGGAGACGAGAATTTTTTTTACACAGAGAATTCTTATGGTCTTGAATGCACTGCCTGAAAGGCTGGTGGAAGCAGATTTTGATAATAGTTTTCAAAAGGGAAATTAGATAGGTACTTAAAAAGGAAAGATTTGCAGGACTACGAGGCAAGAGCGGAGGAGTAGGACAAATTGGATAGCTCTTTCAAAGAGCAAAAGGCACGATGGGCAATTTGCCTCCTTCTGTGCTGTGATTGTGTGATTCTATGAAAGCGGATAGAGTGAACCTGGATCTCATTGGGTCACTCACCTTTGCTGCACTCATTCAAAAAAAAGTTTAAATTGTCAAAACTATTTTTGAATCATCAGCTGGTGTTAAATTGACAAAACGCTGGTTACTAAGAGCTTCTCTAATCCCAGAGATTGTCATCAGATTTTGCACGTCAATATAAATTAATTTGCCCACCAGTCTCCAGGTGCCCTTTGACTGGTGAGCAGGTTAATCCAATTGACGGCCTATGGGAGTGTAAGTGCTTTATGTCACTTGTTGCTGCCTGTGAAAACGATAACTCACTCAACAACAACAACAACTTGTATTTATATATCGCTCAGGGCATTAACCTGGATTTCCTGCACTGCACTAAGGGTTTATTAGCTGAATTCAACAACAATAACAACACGTTTACATTTATATCGCACCTTTCACATAGGGACGGTGTCCTAAGGCACTTGCTTGACAGTCCTGGTTTGGTACTCGAGCTGGGGGTGGGAACCGAGGGAAATCTAGTGGGGAAAGGACTACCAACGGCACAGACAAAGTGCGAGGTCTTGAGACGGAACTTGAAAGAGGAGAGGGAGAGGGCGAGAGGCTGAATCCAAATAAACTTGACTTTTTCTTTAACCGCACTCGAACCAAAATATCATGCGTAACCGAATGAATGATATTAATAATAATCCTTGCATTTGGTATAGCACCTTATCACATCACTGAGACGTCTGAAAGTGTTTCACAGAATCTATTGTAAAGTGAATTGTCTGTATATTTTGTGGGCGAAATTTATCATATGTATACTAAAATATACATATGATAAATTTGCCAAGTTAATCCCACCAATAACTTGAAATAAACAGGATTTTTTTAATGCATTCCCTTTGGTCCCCCTAGAAATAATCAGCCCATTTGGGACATGACCGTTTCCTGCAGAGGTGTTTGACCCTGAAGTGTCATTCCAGGACTTCTGAAGGCACTAGCTGAAAAATTTCCCAGGATGAACCGTAAAACAGGTTTGCTTTGCATTTTAATCTAGCGTTATGCTGATCAGCAGCTTAACAAAACACTAAGAGGATAATAATAATAATAAATGATGTTGGTGCATACTTAAGCACTTTGGTCTGTATATTGCTCATGTTATAAACTCACAGAATATTACAACACAGAAGGAGGCCATTCGGCCCACCGTGCCTGAGCCAGCTCTTTGGAAGAGCCACCCAATCAGTCCCGCTCCCCCGCTCTTTCCCATATCCTTGCAAACGTTTCCTTTTCAAGTACCTATTTCCAATTCCTTTTTGAAGGTTGTTATTGAATCCGTTTCCAACACCCTTTCAGGCAGTGCATTCCAGGCCGTAACAAATCTCTTTTAATTCATTTTATTGTTCTTAGTTGTTGGACAGTAATTCTCTCTCGATCAAATTTTTTTTTACAGTCCAACAGGGGTCATTGTCTTGTTCAAGGTCTGTCTCTAGACCTCCCTATTTGACCGTGCCTTCAACTGTTTTTCCCTCTCCTCTCCCCCCCTCCACTTCCCTGGGCTCCCGAGTACCAAGCCAAGACTGTAAACAATTTGGCCTCATGTCAAGACAAGCTCACAGTCTAGGCTGACACTCCAGTGCAATCAATAGTGGTTGCTGATGGTAGGACCTTGCTGGGGCAACTGGCTTTTGTGCTTGCCTTAGAGCAATTTTTTTTATAGCATTCACTAAACTAGTCAGCAATTACTTGTCGGGCACTTGTTAAAGGCCCTGTGAAAACGCAGGTTCTTATTCACACAGCTTAATGGGTCACTGACACTATACAGGGAAACTGTACGAGGAGACGACATGTTTTTACATATACTTTATTGTTTCAGCTTGTGCCACACAAAACTGAAATTTTAGGGACACACCTTTTTTTTCTTCTCCTCGAATATTTAAAAAATAACATGTATATTTCTTGTAAAGATATCCACGTATTATATACAGTAGTGTTAATAGATCCATTGCTTGCTGCATCTTTCTTTTGCACAGCAAAGAAATAATATTATGTCCAAGCACAAACACTATTTACATACATTGAAAACACTGGTTAAGAAATCACAACAGTGCAATATACAATCCACAGGGTGTAACAGGCAGGAATAAACTCTCGTGAGTCAACCAAGAGACTGTAAACATAAAGATTTTTTTGTGTTGTTCAAGACAAATAATTGTGGTACTTGGCTCAATGGAAAGGAAGCCTGCATTCCTCGTTTCACAAAGAGATGCAAGAGATGTAGAGAATCCATTTTACTGACTGATGGAGTCGCTACTTATACTTCCAGCAATGTTCTTTTTAAGCCTTGCCCCTCGGTGTCAGAATTGACGGTTTGTTTCTTAAAGACACACTACCGCCCTTTTCCCAATGATAATTGCATCTTTTGGACTCTATCTAATTGTAATGCATCACTCTCTCTTTCTCACTCTCTCTCGCTTTTTCATACCATCAACGATTCCATTTTTTTAAACAAAATCAATCAATGTAATAATTTTAATGGAACTGCAAACTTGGAAGGCAAGTGATTTTGGTAACAGAGGATGGTTCACGGGGACTAGGGTTACAATGGGATGACGCAAGATAAGGTACTTCATACATACATTTTGTAATAAACCACCAAAAGGGAACACTCAGGCCTGTTGAAAGGAATTACCTTTCATTTTTAACACAACAGGGTAGAGGAAGGAGGCTTTAATAATATATATATATACTTGTTGGTTAGTCTCTTTAAAAGTGCATTTTACACCAAATACCTCAAATCTTGCTTTCATGCTTCTCATTTTAAATTACATATGTGCCATATTTGTAGCCCCATGGAATACTGTCCTGAAAGATGAGAAATAGGAAACCTGCTCCTGGGAATGTGGTTTCTTTGTGTACCTGAGGGAAACTGGGGACAAGATTGAGATAGGTATAAGCGCAGTAGATCTTGTAACCAAATTATTGTCCGTCCTTCCAAACACTTCTTCTGTTCATCGTGCATTAAACCTTCCTGCCTTCTTTGGTGTCCTTCCTTTCATCTTCCCCCTCCAGATAAGTTTTAATGTGCATGATGCTTCATTTCCATCATTCAAAACAAAGAGGGTTTTGTGTTACATTTTTTGCAATGCTTTACATTTCCATTTATTTACGGCCTTTGCATTTAATTCGAAAAATTGCAAGGAGACTGGGGAGGACAGACAATAACAGACAATTACTAATTAAATGCATAACAGGGTTATGCATTTAATTAGTAAAAACATTTTTTTGGTTAAAAAAAACAGCAGAGCGGGCCAGATACTAAATAAATAATAATCCTTAGATTTCACAAAGCAGCTTTCACAGGATTGACTGTGAAGTGTAGTGACTGTAGGTGAATGCAGCAGCCAATTTGCACACAGCAATTTGCTGCAAATGAAGCGATTTTATTTGGGGGAATTGTCAGCCAGGACCCTGGGTGAAAAACTCTTTCCTCTTTTCTAAGCGCTCTGAGACACTACCCTGCGAGGAGGGCGCTATATAAGTGCACATTGTTGTTATTGGACTTTGGTTTAATGTCTCACCCATAGGATGGACATGACATAAACCAAAGAGGGAAAAGAATCACATTAAAGGAACTGAATAAATCCTAAAACCAACTCCCCCCCAAAACAGAAGGAAAAGCAACATTTTAAATACTGAATTTGGATAACGATTCTGCCCCCCCCCCCACCATCATATGTTTATGTGTGGGTTTAGGTGGGTGGGAGCGAGTGGGGGGGGGGGGAATCAGATGTAAAACAGCAATAGGATGGGCACAAGTTGAAGTAAAATCTCCAGAAATATAGTACAAAGTTACATTTATATAGCGCTTTTGATGTTGGGAGGAAGTCCCAATGTGCCGGACAGTCCAGGGTTTGCACCCGAGCTGGGGATGGGAGGGTGAGGGGTGGAGGGGGAAGATGGCCAAAAGCACAATCAAATGATCCAAAATAATCAGTTGTTTCAAAGGGCGCTGTCTTCATGAAGGTCTTTTTTTAGGCAAAGCTCTGGGCTCTTTGAAAGAGAACAGGCAAAAGCGACAGCATGAAGCAATTTGACACACTTTCTTTCGCTGCATTTGCATCGTAAGAATTCTGACATTCTGAACATGTAAACAACTGGAAAGAGGGAGGAAGAGAGGAGGTTAGAGGGCTGGTCGGAAGATGTTCATGCTCTAAAATCTTTGGCTCGGAATAAGCCTGGAAAGATCCAAAAGGCTATCAAGTGTGACGCTTTCCATTTCTTGAAGCCTATTTCACTGTTTCACTGTGTGTGTGTGTGTGTACGTACAATCGTTAATTTTTTTATATTTTGCATTTTTTAAAAAATAAAATGCACATTTTCTTTTAATCGTCGGCGTCGGGATTAACGTGGAAAAGATAATAATCCTTGCGTTTGATATTTAGCGCCTTATCGCGTTGTCGAGACAAGTCTCAAAAGGGCTTCACGGGTTGTACGCTGTAAAGTGGACTGATTGACCGTGTGTTTTGTTGGCGAAAGGTATGTGTGTTGTGTTTATTGCGTGACTCGGCTTGGATCCGGATCAGCGCGACTAAGTGTGTGTGTGTGAGTGGGTGAGTGAGTGTGTGTGCGTGTTTTCATCACTGGTTTGTTGACATGCACATCAGCAATGCCAGATACAGTAATAACATGAGCTGAACTCCAGATGTCACAGCAAAGAGACTTATTCCCCCCCAACCCTCACCCCCAGTCATTCCACATGAATTTCACCTACATGCAATTAATTTGTTTGGTGGGAGGGGGTGTGTGGGGGTGGGTTGAGGGAGAGAAATAGAGGTTGAGAAGAGGGAAGAGAGTGTGTAAGGAAGGGGGTTGGTTGGGGGGAGGGGGGGGGGGGGAGCAAGGCATCAGTAACAGCTCAAGCTCAAGTATATGGTTTGTAGGGGATTGGGGAGGAGAGGTTGGGGAGTTGGGGAGGGATTGGGGGGTGGGGGGGTTTGGGGGTGAATGAGTGCAGCGTTCAGAATCCGCAGTCACACAACACAGAGGGAGTTACATTCCAACCAGGAACCCCACAAACCTTCACAACAGGACATTTCCTCCCTTTCCTGGGTTTGTTGCATTCTTTATTTCTCTCTCTCTCTCTCTCTACCCCACCTTCTCTCTCTCTCTCTCTCTCTCTCTCTCTCTTCGATCCTCCCAAAGGACTGGACCGACACAGGTGAACAGCAGCACCAAATGTTTTTTAAAACCAACCATGAGAGCAAAAAAAAAACTCACAATTTTCGAGATCCTTCAACTTGAACTTAACTCAATCCAAAGGGAACGAGATACCTCGACATCGGATTGCATTCCGCACGTCTCTCTCTCTCTCTCTTTGTGTCTCTCCAACACCCCACCATCACCCCCCCACCTCCCCACCATCACCCCCACCCCAAAAAAAAACCCTTAAAAGTTATTGCAATGCAGATGATGAGGGGGTGATGGAGGGAGGGGGCGAGAGAGAGAGAGAGGGAGGGAGGGAGGGGAGGTGTGCAATGGACAAAGTGGGAGAGGAACATCCAACGATTGAACCTACACACACACACACAACACAGGAAAGGGGGGGGGGTTGGAGGGAGGGGGTTTGGGGGGAAATGGAAAAAAAAAACCCAACCCCCCCCCCATTCTAGAGAGAGAGAGAGAGAGAGAGCAAAAAAAATAATTGGTGGTGGTTTGGGGGATGAAGTTCATCCCGTGTCTTGCGATTGGGGTGAGTGTGTGTGGTGGGTCCGGCTGGAGAGGGGGGGGTGATGGGGGGGGTGAGGGGGGGCTGATCCCGGCTCCTGCTCCCCGGCCAGACTCCCCAGGGAGGAGTCGCTGCCCGTGCTCTCCCCGGACAGCAAACGGGTCACCCTCAGGTCGGCCCTGAGAAGGTCCACGTCGTTGCCGAAGCTCAGCTCTCCCAAGTCGCTGATCAGCGCACTCAGGTCCTGCCCCGCGGGGGCAGTGCTGCGGTTGGTGTTGGTGGTGGTGGTGGTGGTGATGATGGCATTGTTATTGGAAGAAGAAGAAGAGGTGGAAGAAGAAGAAGAAGAAGAAGAAGAGGAGGAGGAGATGGTGGTGGCCGACTCCAAGATGTCCTCGCACTCCAAGCTGCTGATCTCCTCGGCCAGCGCCCTCTCCTCCTGCTCCTCCCCCGCGGGGTCCTCGGTGATGGAGCCGAGTTTGGGGGCGCTCCGGCTCCTCTCCACCGGGGGCTTGTAGTAGCTGCAGTGGCCGTTCATCAGCTTCCTGAGCGGCACCAGCGGGACGCTGTGCTCGCCCACCAGCCTCTGCTGCTGGTGCCGGGCGTCGTCCCTCCTCTTGAGCCGCTTGAACTCCGCCAGTGCGTTGGCCGACGTCTGGTACAGGAGCAGCGCCATGGCTTTGGCTTTCTCGGGCTTGGACACCAGCACCGCGTGGCACCGGAGCATCACCGCCTTGTGCTTCAGCTCGTGTCGGTAGATCCACGCGAAGATCTTGGGCGCCCGGGGGTCGGCCACGCAGTAGGTGATCCTGTGGAGCAGGTACAGGTGCCCCGGTCGCTTGGCTTTGCCCTCCACGTGGACCATCCGGATGCCCTGCCCGCTGATGGTCAGCCGCATCTTGGTGCCGCACTTGCCCTGCTCGCTCTTGCCCAGGATCTTGCCCACCGCCACGTCGGTGCAGCCCTCGCCCTTGGACTGGATGGTGGTGGCGTTGCCCAGGTACAGAGCCGTGTAGGTCGGGTCCTCGCCCGTGATCTTCACCTTCTTCCTGCGCTTGGACTTGAACATCCCGCACACCCGGGTCAGGGCGCTCTCGGTCACCCCGTCCGGGCAGGCGCGGGCCAGCGAGGCGGCCAGGCTGCTGGGGCTGTGCTGGTGCTGCTGCTGCTGGTGGTGGTGATGGTGGTGGTGGTGGTGCTGATGATGGAGATGGTGATGGTGGTGGTGGTGGTGGTGGTGATGGCTACAGTTCAGGTTGACCACTGAGAAGCTCAGCTGTTTCCCCTTTTTCTCCTCGATCAAGTCGAATTTGCTTTTCTTCCACGGGAGCATCGCTGGAGAAATGGGGTGTGGGGTGGGGTGGGGGTGGGGGGGGGGTTGGGGGGGGTGGGGAGGGGATGAAATGGGGGGAGGGAGAGGGTAAGGTGGGGGGAGGGCAATGAATGTGTCCTTGATCGCCCCCCAATTCAGCCCCAGGTCGCTCTCATTCCTTGTTCCAACTCAGTTCAATCTCTCTCTCTCTCTCTCTCTCTCCCCCCCCTCCACCCACTTTCCCTTCCCCCCACCCCCCACCCACACCCCCCCCACCACCCCCCCCACCAACCCAGGTCTGGTTGGCGATGGTTCCTGATCTCCCCCTCTCTCTCTCTCTCTCTCTCCCCCCCTCTCTCTCTCTCTCTCTCTCCCCCTCTCTCTCTCTCTCTCTCCCCCTCTCTCTTAGGCTTCTTCTCATTTTCTGAAACCGACTCGTGAAAGTTGAATTACACTCGGGGAGGCAGTCAGAGGTAAATAGATACCGGGACAAACCATTCACTGCTCTGGGAGAGGGGAGGGGGAGGAGAGAGGGAGGGAGGGAGGAGGAGAGAGAGAGAGAGAAAGAGAGAGGGAGGGAGAGAGAGAGAGAGAGGGAGGGAGGGAGGAGAGAGAGAGAGGGAGGAGAGAGAGAGAGAGAGAGAGAGGGGAGAGAGAGAGGGAGGGGGGGGAGAGAGAGAGGGGGGGGGAGAGAGAGAGAGAGAGGAGAGGAGAGAGAGAGAGGGGGGGGAGAGAGAGAGAGAGGGGGGAGAGAGAGAGAGAGGGGGAGAGAGAGAGGATGGATTGGAGGTAGGAAGTTCTCACCAGCAGCCTGACAGCTCCTTGACATAGAGAGAGACAGAGAGAGACACACACACACCCAGAGAGAGAGAGCGGTTTAACCGTTTAGCTTCTCGAAAGGACTCATCACTGGTGTTATAATGTTATTCTGCGGCGTCACACGCAGAGCACAGTGACAACCAGATAGTGAGTCGGACCATCCTTGCATTCTGAGGCCATCCATCCAATAATACCCATCAGATTCCTCCCCACCCAACCCACCCACCCACCCACCCACCGGGTGGCTTATGGTAACAATAATCATCATTATTGCGGTTCTGTTCACTGGTGATTATTTGCGTTATGATTAACGCTGTGTTTCACCCACAAAAACAATACACCGTCGATTTACTTTACGGTGTATCTCGAGAAGCGCTTTTAGACACCGTGACAATACGCAAAGGCGCTGTACCGAATGCAAGGATTATTATTATTATTTATTTGGTACAGTACAGCCCCTTACACATTGGGAGGGGCGTCCCAAAACACTTCAGAGGATTTAATGCAAAGTGGAGTGACTGGGTATTTGATCAATATTTTTTTTTTAAAAATGAGGGGAGGGGTGGTGGGGGAGATTGTCAGTCAGGATACCGGGAGAAACTTGCTCTCTAAATGATTGACCACTCAATCCACAAGTGTTTTGTGGGATCTGTTGTTAGCAATTGGCTGCTGCGTTTTTGCCCACAAAATGCACAGTCAATCCACTTTACAATATATCCCGTGAAGCACTTTGCGACATCGGGAAGATGTGAAGATATATCAAATGCAAGGATTATTATTGTAAAGTGCAATGGGTAAGCTCTGTGACATTGCATCGGACAGCTTGCTTACCAGTCGAGAGAGCTGTGGTTGGGTGGTATTGTTTTGAAAAGGAATAGATATTAAGGCGAGTGACGAAAACAACAACAACACCGAACTGGAAACAGGAGGTTTCAGGGAATAGAATGGAATCACAGTTTCCAACTGCTCCCCTCCCAACAACTGCCCCCCTCCCAACCTTTATATCACTGCACACAGACTGTCTCCCAGCCCCTGTAGGATTCTGCCATCAGGAAACTGGATAGGAACTCAGTCCCAATGCTTTAGCTTGGAGCAGAGTCAGCAGGTCACACTTAAAGTAATCTACAAAGAATGCAATGCCATTAAACATCATAGAATTATACAGCACAGAAGGAGGCCATTCGGCCCATTGTGTCTGTGCCGGCTCTTTGAAAAGAGCTATCCAAATCAATCCCACTCCCTCTCCCCAAAGCCCTGCAAACTTGTCCTTCCCCCAATAATTATCTATTTCTCTCTTAAAAGTTGACATTCAATCGGCTTCCATCACCGTTTCAGACAATGCATTCCAGAAATACTACACCTGCTATGTGGGTAGAGCTTCCACTCAGATGCCCTATTTATTAAGACTTTTCTTTTGGTCAGCCAGTGGAAACCTATCACCATGCTTAACGGTATCCAAACCAGACTGAGAAGTTTTATATTTGCATGCCACCTACACTTGGACATTTGCTTGTGCCTGGAATGGAATCCGTGCTCTCTCTCTCTTTCTCTCTTGCTCTCCCCCTCTCTCTCTCCTGAAGGGATGCACCCTGCTCACCTAATTCAGGAAAGTATTAAACATAGGTTGGCTTGGGATCCCAGAGTGTCCATTAGGGGTAACTAATGGAGTCTAACCAGCTAAAACCGCATAGCTTGCAATTAACACTGACTGGCGAGCTTTCCTGCTGCTTGTCCAGCCAGGACCACCCTACCCATTCGGGCTTTGATTTACAGGTTAACAGGAACTGAGTGGGATGATTCCCTGTATTCTGCATGAGGGGCGAGGAGAGAAAATGCCAGTGTGGATGGATTTGGGGTAGGAGATAGACGCCTCAGGCAGGCAGGTAAGCAAGCAAGATTATCACATGATTTTGCTTCTGAAGAATTTAGAAATCATCTGAGATATGAGTCTTTGGACAAACAATCCAAACCTATTTTTCCAGTTGAAAAATGAATAGAATACTCAATCCCTAATCCACAGACACATGGTGGAGAGCTTTGTAATAACAATATTCCTTGCATTTGATATAATGGCTTATCATGTCATTGAGACGTCTCAAAGCTCTTCACAAAATATACTGTAAAGTGGATTGACTGGGTATTTAGAAATGTAGCGTTCCCCCCTTTGTTATTTCAGGAAGGTTTGCTTGAAAAGTTTTTGTGTTCTTGACTTGCAATACACTTAGCTGACTCCTCAAGTTTATATTCCAGATAAATATTCCAGATCATCTGGTTTTATCTCTCTCCAAACCCCCTTGAAAATATTGCAGATTAAATCCCTTTTTGACAATAATCCAGACTCGTTGGCAACAAATGCATTATTATGGAATGAAAATATGACTGGGGAAATATCCTTGTAGTAATCCAAAGCAAACAGTGGCGTCACTGATTACCATTGGATGGTAACCTTCATTGTAGAACTGACCTTCCCCAAAAGAAACAGAAATACTTTCACCACTCGATACAAAGTAATACGTCCCAATAGACATCAATGTTTTTAAACATTATTGTGTTTTTCCTAAAGTATCGACCGCACCTTAAGCTGCTTATGGCTTCATGACATACCGGTTGCTCCCGAGCCATTAGATTTATGATTTATGACTAGAGCAGTGTGAAACTGCCGTGTTGGGCAGGTCACACTGTGAGAGATGCAATGCTGATAGACTTTTGGCTGCAACGATTAGAGCTGCAGTGAAACAACGCACACATGCGGCAATAACAGCTAGCAGCCAGACATCTATTTTTATACACAGTTTTGGGCACCTTCAATAAATCATTGATGCTAGAAAAGGAATATATCTCAAAAACTCTGCATTAATAGACCGTGGTAATGTCTTAAGCAGGAAGTCTTTTTGGAAACATTTTCAAAGTGAATTTAAAAATCATTTTGGTCCTCTTTGCCCTTTTTTCATCTCTGTGTTTACCCACAAAACAGTCACTGCATCTTACAATATATCCTGTGAAGCGCTTTATGACATCCTCCTGATGTGAAAGGCGCTATAGCAAATACAAGGATTATTATTTTATTTATAAACAAAATGCAAAATACTGCAGATGCTGAAATCTAAACAAAAACAGAAGTCGATGGGAACACTCAGCAGGTCAGACAGCATCTATGGAGAAAGGAAAGTGAGTCAACTTTTCAGGACTACGAACATTCATCAGAACTGGGGCATGTTGAGAGGGAGAGGTTTTTAAGGACTAACAGAGAAGGAGGAGGCAGGGCAAGGAAGACAAAGGAGAAAATGGGGTAGAGGTCAGGGGATGATGGGTCAAAGGGTGTTTAGGCGTGGAGGGCACTTATATAAATCCAAGTTGTTGTTGTTGTTAATGATAACAAAGGGGCGGGGGGGGAATGCATCAAAACAGGCAGTCCAGAGAGAGAAAAGGTGTCTGGGACCCAGATGATATGGTCATGGTCTCATCTTCTGTTTGAGGACCCGAAATGTTGCTGAGTGTTTCCAGCGACTTCTGTTTTTGTTTATTGTGTTATTTGATGACCTTGAAATCTGTGAGCTTCAGTGCAGGCAGTTAATAGGGACAGCATTTTAATGATATAGTTGCACAATGTGTTAATGTACGTGGCCACTGGACTGTTTGAATACTCCGAAGCTACAGCAATTTGTACAGTATATGCTAAGTATAAGCTTTATTCAAATCATATTGAGTCTGAGCCAGGGTTTTAAATCATATAACTGCATAACTGACATGTATCTGTACTCGCTGACCTTCATGTAAGGTAAATGAAAGATTTTTTTTAATGAGCCAAACATAAAGCTTTATTCAAATCATATCGAGCCCAAGACAGGGTTTTAAAACCATATCTACCCAGTCTCAGAAAATGTATTCTTGTCTCTGACCTTCATGTAAGTAAGGGAAATGACAAATTTTTTAAATGAATCAAAAATGAAACATGAGTACAACAACCTTGTAGTTGATATAGCGCTTTATCAGGTCGTTGAGACGCCACAAAGGGCTTCACAGAATACATTGTAAAGTGGATTGACTGTATATTCGTAGGAGAAATACAGCAGCGGATTGAGCACAGCAGCGTCCCACAAACAGTCGAGGATTGAGTGACCAAATTACTTTGTTTTTGTTGTTGTTCAAAACTATAGCTCAGCACATGAGGCATTACTTGTTTTGTATTTGTACAAGTCCATGCTAAGTACTATTGTTGCTGAGTTGACTAAAGCTGTGTAAGAAACGCCGTGAATGTTGTGTATGTGGACCACAGGAACAAGGCATAAAGTTATGCATAATCCTCTTTAATGCTGTAATGCCTTGATTGGTACTGATGAGAATCATTTCACTGCACTATGTGATTGCAATGCCACCTGGTGTCCAGTATAATGTCCAATATCTGGTAGCAGAATAACCATACAAGAACAACAACAAAATTACATTTGTATAAATAGCACCTTTCACGTCGGGAGGACGTCCTGGTTTGATAGCATGGTTACAAATAACACTCTAGTTATTGGTTTGAATATTGGATTACAGAATTGTCAGCAAAAAAAATGTTTAAAGGATTTTGAACTTATTGTACTATTTGCTTGAAGTCTCCAGGTAATAATAATAATAAATAATAATAATCCTTGCATTTGATATAGCGCCTTTCACGTCTTTGAGACATCTCAAAGCGCTCGAAAGTGGTGTCGGAGTCAGATAAACTATCGCCCACAGGATTTTTCTGTTAAACCATTGTTCGTCTGCCATTGATAAACAACAAATGACATTTGGATAGCATCCTCCAATGGCAGAGAGTGGTTTATTTCATAAAGTGGGAAAACATTTTCACAAAGTGTATAGAATGCAAGTGAGAGAGTGGTAAGAGAGAGAGAGGAGCAAGAGAAAATAGAGAGAGGAAAAGAGAAATAGAAGAGAGGGAAAGAGAAGAGAAAAGAGAGGAGAAATACAAGAGAGAGAAGAGAAATAGAAGAGAGAGATAGAGAGAGAGAAGAGAAAGAGGAAAGAGAGGAGGAATAGAAGAGAAACAGAGAGAGAGAGAAGAGAAATAGAAGAGAGAAAGAAGAGAGAAAGAGGAGAGAGAGACGAGAAGAGAACTAGAAGAGGGAGAAAGAGGAGGAGAGAGAAGAGAAATAGACGAGAAAGAGGAGAGAGAGGAGGAATAGAAGAGAAATAGAAGATTGAAGAGAGAGGAGAAATAATAATAATAATAATAATAATCCTTGCATTTGATATAGCGCTTTTCACGTCTTCCCGATGTCTCAAAGCGCTTCACAGAACACACTGTAAAGTGAATTGACTGTATATTTGTGGGCGAACGCGGCAGCCAATTGTGTCCCACAAATAGTCATGGATTGAAAATGACCAATTTATTATTGCTTTTGGTTTTTTTGGAGGGATTATTATTAGGCTCTGTGTGGAGTAAGGAAACTTGCCCAAGGTTTCGCCCTCTGCCGGGAATTGAACTCAGGTCTCTCACTTACAAAGCGAGTGCTCTAACCACTGAGCCACAGATACAAGAGAGAAAGAGGAGAGAGAGAGAGAGAGAAAGAGAAGAGAGAGAGAAAAAAGAGAGATTGGTCCAGACCTGTCCCCAGGGGGTGTGAGTGAGGAATGTGTCCCCGGAACCTTCCGCCCGGGGCCGCGGTGCAGACGGGGACGGGTTAGTGAGGCGCACAGTGAGAGGGGGGGACAGAGGGCAGTGTGACACCGACACCCGCAGACCTCCCCCCCCCCCCCGCCCCGCGCGCGTGTCTGTGTCTGTGTGTGTGTGAGAGGGACTCGGGCCCTGAGGGTCGGGGCTGTGGCCGCGGACCCCGCACATGGGGAAGAAGCGGCGAGGAGGCGGTGGGGGGGCCCTGGGCCGCGCCATCATCAGGGACACAAAGCAGGCGGCCCGGAGGGGCGGCGGGAGCGACTGCTGGGTGAGAGGGGGAGGGGGAGGCCGCCAGGGGACCCCACCCCACCCCACCCCGGGCACCTGGGGAGACACCGTGAGGGGGACACGGGGGGCGGGGGAGGGGGGGAGGGAGGGAGAGGGAGGGAGGGAGTGAGAGTGTGTGAGGGAGTGAGTGAGAGTGTGTGTGAGAGTGAGTGAGTGAGTATGTGAGTGAGAGTGTGAGTAAGTATGTGAGTGAGTGAGAGTGAGTGAGTGAGTGAGTGAGAGTGTGAGTGAGTGAGTGAGTATGAGAGTGAGTGAGTGAGAGTGAGTGAGTGAGTGAGAGTGAGTGAGTGTGTGGGGGGAGGCGGTGGGTACAGTCAGTCCACAACAACAACTTGCATTTATGAAGCGCCCTCACTCTGGACAGGGTCCCAAAGCACTTGACCCCAGTCTGGGTGAATACAGGGGCTGAGAGGCGCTGACCTGGTCCACATCTCCTGCCCGCCCCACCTCGGTGTCCGGCCTTCAGACCCCACCCTCTGGAACTCCATTTCACAGTCCCTCCACCTCGCTCCCTCACTTGCCTCCTTCAAGACCCGTCTCAAGACCCTCCTCTTCAACCGCACCTTCGATCACCCTCCTACTCCCTGCCCTCCAGCCCTCCCTATCCCAACCCCCAAATCCCTGACTAGCCAGTGCCTTGGGACGTCCTCCCGACGTGAAAGGCGCTGTACAAGGTTGTTGTGGTGTAAACTTTTCCCTAGTATTTCAAAAGTATTGCGAGTTAACAATTGGTTAGGGTCCATGTCAATTAGGTACCACAATAGATTGCAGAGTGTTTGGGGTTTTGGGGGTAAAATACACATTCCTTCCGATCGTAACTTATGTTTTCAGATCAGCCCGAAGCCTCCCAAACCGGAGCAGGGAGACAATCTGTGTGCAGTGATATAAAGATAGGAGTGGGGGGAGTTTGTATTAATACAGAGAACAGAATGCACAGTTGCATTTAAAATAACTGAATTCCTATAAATTCTGCACTGCTGAAGAAGTTCTTATTTTTTCAACGCACCTGTTTTGCTTCGCAACAGCTTCACACAAGTGAACTGAACGATGGATACAACTGGGGGCGGCTGAACCTACAATCAGTAACTGAGCAAAACTCGTTGGATGAGTTCCTGACCACTGCAGAGCTGGCAGGAACAGAGTTCATAGCCGGTAAGATTCTTTGTAATCTATTCTATTATTTAAAGACGTCCATTTTCAATCTGAATACATGTATATATTCAGATATTTACTCAGAAATGTGCTGTTGAGACGGAATTGATCTGTCAGTAAAGCTTTCTGGCGGTTTGTCACAATCTCTGTAATTTGTGGGAATTTTGAAGGGAATAAAGGCAATAATAGTAATCCCATTATGATTAAAAGTACTGTATATAATATTGCCCCATAACATTTTCTTTTGTAATATTTTATTCTGGATTTTCGGGATTTGGGGATTATGTTATGGCAAATTAGAATGATGTGCTAATGTGATGTATTTGTGTTTTGTGAATGAGCTGACAGTATCCTTGCTGTAAATTGAATCTACCAATCAGTTTGGGGATAAAGTTACACAGCCACGAATGAATGCTCAAGCCGGCGGTATTGTGGTTTTTTTTCTACAGAGAAGCTCAATGTCAAGATCGTCTCGGCAGAGGCCAGGACAGGTTTGCTGACAGCCGAGGAAAGCCACAATATCGAGAAACTCCATGAGGAGAACAAGCGGTTTCTGTGCATTCCGCGGAGGTGGGGATCTATTCACATCTCTAAATCTTCGAAAAAAATTGATTGGCACAACAACCACAGCAACAAATTACATTTGTACAGCCCCTTTCACGGCTGGAGGAAATACCAAGGCGCTGGACAGTCAAGGCTTTGGACCCGAGCAGGGGGTTGGGATCGGGAGGGATGAGGGTGGCCGAAGGCACAGTCGAAGAGGAGGGTCTTGAGATGGGCCTTGAAGGAGGCAAGGCGAAGGAACTATGGGATGTGTTGCAAAGGGTGAGGCAGAGAGGCTGAAGGCCCGACCGCCGATGGGGGGGCTGGTCGGGTGGGGGACGTGGAGTGGAGGGAGTGGACAGGTTTATATGGCGTTAGACACAAATAGTTAGTGTAGCAGATTCAACTGAGAGAATGTATTTTGAGAGCTTGGTTGAGGATTTCCTGCTGAGGCACCGAGGTGGCTTTCCGCCTCATCTTAAAAATGTGTCTGTCCACACGCACATACTGCCTGCAATCAACAACCTTCCTTTGTCCATTTCTGAGGAAGCACTGGAACCTTTCTGCCTGTTGGCGAAGGGTAACTTGTAGAGTTATCAAATACAGTTCTATAAATCTCACAAGTAGTTCACTTTAATTTCCCCCTCCTCACCCCATTACTTGTTTGAAGCAGGTATGATTATATAAAAGAGGGGAAGTCCCAACCAGTAATCCCCCAGGTAAAAAATGGTCTTTCACTTCACTGCTATTTGTGGGACATTGTATACGCCCACAAATGCACAGTAATTGCACTTTACAGTAATTCCTGTGAAGCGCTTTGAGACATTTCAGCAATGTGATATCAAATGCAAAGTTCCTTATTTTAATCATGTGTGCTCTATGTGGCGGGACTGAGGATAAGCAACATTGTTTATTTTTCACAGTGGTGCTTTAATAAGCTCCAGGTTAACTGCACTATGCTTTGAGTGCTGCAATAGCTTATTATGTTGAGAGGCTAAATCCTCCTTTTGACATTAATCCTCAATGCAATAATTTGCGTATCATCACTTTATCAAAAATAGGGAAAGTTTGGTTAGACCTGAAAATTAAGCTCAGTAAAAGCCGATGAATTACATTGTAGATTTGGTTTGAAATTTATAAAAATAATATGATGGAACAGGTTTATTTTTTTTCCTCTCTGTGGCATTGATATTTTAACATAAAATCTCCATTCTGGTGCTTTTAGGCCTCACTGGGATGAGAATACAGCAGCCGAGGAACTGAAGCAGGCAGAAAGGGAGAGTTTCCTGGAGTGGAGGCGCCAGCTGGTTCTGTGAGTGTTGCCCCTGTCGTATTATCACGTCTGCTTATAGGAACATAAGAACAGGAGGCCATTCAGCTCCTCAAGCCTGTTCCGCCATTCTATTATATCATGGCTGATGTGTACTTCAATTCCAATTACCTGCCATTGCCCCATTTCGCTCACAAAAATGTACAGGCAATTCACTTCACAGTGTGAAGCACGTCTTGAAGACGTGATGAGGCATAATATAAAATGCAAGGTTTATTATTATCCCTCGATACCCTTACCTAACCAAAATTTATCCACCTCAGTCTTGAAAATTTAAATTTTTATATTTTAAAAATTGCTTCTGCCCCTGTCTGCGGGTATTGCTTTCCAGATTTTGTCCCTAAAATATAAATAGTCCTTATTGAGGCAGCGCCTTGACTGCTGTTTAACCCTCGCTTCTCTTTCCTCAGAGATGTCAAGTCAGACAGTAGAGTTCCATACATTGTTCTCTGGGCTAAACCGGGGAGAAGCGAGAAGTAAGAAGGGCAGATATTTCTGTCAAGGCCTCCCTTAGATGTGGACTGAGTACCCAGCACTGGGAGAGATGTGTAGGTGAATACTGTGTGGGAATTGGAGGTGGAGTTTTCCACAGGCTTGGATTTGATGGCTTCTGGACTTCTTTACTCCACTTTCTTGTCTGTGTATCTTATCTATATGTGCATGTGCATAGTTTTTATTTTCAGAGTCTTATTTCATGTTTTCCTTCCTAACGTTCTTGCTCTGCTTGCAGGCTGGAAGAGCAGCAGAAACTGATCTTGACGCCATTTGAAAGGAATCTAGACTTCTGGCGGCAGTTGTGGAGAGTGATTGAGAGAAGGTGCAGTATCCAGGAGCTAGCTTAAAGTTGCCATCCGTTTCTTTCTCTTTGAATGCTTTGCACGCACAAAATACATCTTCGTCTTTCTTGACCCAGAGAGAAGCAGATAATCTGGTCTCTGGAACATGTTGAAAGATGATGCAGAGCAGATGGGTCAGTGTGCTCTCAGGTGCATTTTCTTTTCTGTCGTACCTTTACTAAAGCACCTGGCTTCCAACTTAGTGCTTTATCCCACCAGCCCAAGTGACACTCAAGTGTTTTGTGAGAAATCCACAGCGAGAAGGCACCTGCCCTCACTTTATTATCTTTGTAATAAATTAATGTATTTAAATCAGTGGAGTCCTGTAGCTTAGTGGTTAGAGCACTGGTTTACCTTGTTTCGATTCCTGGAAGCGCGAAATGTTGGGCAAGTTTCCTTACTCCACAATCCTCTTATTTACCTAGCAGTAAGTAGGAAACCGATTGTTAGTCGATTGGCCGATTGCTTTTCCGAGGATAATCATTCTTTCAAAAAAATAATAACTTGGTCACTCAATCCGCGACTGTTTGTGGGACACTGCTGTGCGCAGTTGGTTGCTGCATTTCGCCCACAAAATCTACAGTCAATTCACTTTGCAGTTTATTCTATGACGTTCTTTGAGAGGTTTAATAGACGTGATAAGGCACTATATCAAATGCAACTATAATTTTATTATAATTACGCAGAAAGGGTCACTGTCTTCACCGAGTATGTCCTTATTATTGTAGGACAGCAGTCGATGTATAAAGGGTCTGAGAATGTTTCAAGAATACAGCTGAGAACATTAAAGGACCGGTTAACATGTGTGAGAGGAAATGTATCTGTGCATGATGGATAGTGTTATTGCCTATAGCAGTTTAATAATTTATAATAATTGTATTTTAGTGGGCAAAACGTGGAGCTATTGTGTGCACAGCAATGTCCCTCAAGTAGCCATGGAGCATGTTACATCAGTTGGCTAAATAGATAAAAACAAATTAAATTTGTGCATGTTTGGATGTGTTTATACATTCTCAAAAGAGGGTTGCGACTACTGTTGGTCTAGAAGTTTGACCGTGTGATTCTTATTGTATTTCCCCAGTGACATTATTGTTCAGATTGTTGATGCCCGAAACCCGCTGCTTTTCCGGTGTGAAGACTTGGTAAGTGATTACTTGACTGGTTAGTTTGTGTTTTATTTTAATAACCGTGTAAAGCATCGTCTTGTTCTGAAACTGTAGAAATGTTTCTGTAACCAAGGTTGGCCTTGCAGGTGTGAGTTTAAGAAGTTTGACTCCAGCGCGGAGCATGTTATCACCGTTGCCTCACTGTCGAAACTTTCATATGGTTTTCTTTGGAATGTTTTATTCAGGCTGCATCAGCTAGTGCGTCCGCTTTAGTCCAAAAAAACATTCAAGGCAGAGTTGTTCTTCAATGGAGCTTGTCTAAAAAGAGCTGCTGGCTCTTCATACACAAGTCTTGAATAGTTGCAAAGCTGGTCATTAATCGTGATGTGTTATTGGCACAGGCAATTAGCTTCCCAGTAACATTAAAGTAACACTTGCATTTTTCCAAATGTAACTCCTCTCTCCTACTCCCTCCTCACTCCCCAACCACCCCCCCACTTCCCATCTTGTGTTCTAATCGCGTTCAGTTTCCTAGGAGCGCTATGTGAAGGAGGTTCAGAAAGATAAAGAGAACATGATCATCCTGAACAAGGCTGATTTGCTGACCCGTGAACAGCGGAGAGTATGGGCGAGCTACTTTGACAAAGAGGGGATGCGTGTGGTTTTCTGGTCAGCCACTGCAGAAGGGAAACGGCTGGATGCAGAAGCCAAGGTGCATAATCTCTAAAAGTTTTAAAAAAGCTTCATTTAATCTTGGTGTATTCCTGGTTTACTTTGCTTTTCTCTCTGTGTGGGCAGGAGTCTGAGGTGGGAGTGCCCCACACTGGTGGGGAAGCAGGAGTCAGTTGTGGAATGGGTCAGGAGTGGGGTCCGGGAGGAGAATGTTCACTGGGACCAGTGTGATGGTAACCATGGGGTTGGGGTGGTCTCCCCTGCCCCCTCCCCCCCTGGAGGCTTTTTAACGCACAGAAATCTCCCTATGTCTGCAATGGAATACACACTCTCTCCCTGAAGGGACGCACCCTGCACACCTTCGCTGGTTAGACCCGTTGCTTTTCCAGCTGGGACCACCTTATCTGTTAGCTTTGGCTTGCGGGGTTAATGGAAGCTGAGTGGGATGAACTTAGGATGAGATGTTAAACCAACACTTGGTGGAGTCCTGTAGTGGTTAGCACACTCGCCTCACAAGCGAGAGGGCTCAGGTTCGATTCCCAGGCAGACGAAACGTTAGGCAAGTTTCCTTACTCCACACGCCTCTTTACCTAGCTGTAAGTAGGAACCCGGTTGTTATCTGATTGGTGGATTGCTTTCTGGGGGTAATAATCCCTCCAAAAAATGTTCAGTTTATATTCCAGCTAACAAACGACTGTTTGTGGGACATGATATGCAAAAAATTGGCTGCCACATTGACCTACAATCACACAGTCACTACACTTTGCAGTAAACCCTGTGAAGCACTTTGAAGCATCACGACAATGGGGAGCTGTATCACTGATTATATTAGAGGCAAAGATTATTTGGGAGGCTAATGATTAAAACACCCATTCTCTGTACTTTTGTTTGAATATTGTAATAACGAGCTGCATACACTGCTGTTTCTGACAACACAAAGGGAGAAGAGCTGGAGAAAGAAATGAATGAAGGGAGTGAGGAGGAGATAGAGAGTGAAGGAGAGCCTTGCGGTCAGGCTAGTGATGAGCCTGGTGAAAGCTCATGTCCTGCCTGCAGTAGCGCAGATGAAGATGATGATGACAGTCAGTATGAAGACTGCGAGGATGAAGAGTTTTGGGAGACTTGCTCTGAAGACGAAAAGGAGTGTAATTCAATGAGGTCTGACACCAGGAGCCAGACTGCTGTCACAGCTCTAAATAATGGCTCCTCCGCTGCTGGTTGTGTGGAGGCTGATGGCTATGGCAGGACTGCAGGTGCCGCTGGCTCTAACGCAGCACAATGTAAGAAACAATTTACCCGCAATTCCAGTCTGTTAATCGAGAGAAATGAACTATTGGAGATTTTCAAAACTATGCACCAAGGGGCCCGAGTGAAGGATGCAGAAATCACAGTTGGCTTGGTGAGTAAACAAATGTCAAATTCTCAGCACTTTCTGTGTTGTGTTTTGATGCTTTCTGTTCCATTTTGTTTCTTGAGGATCGTCTTATTTAAGAACAGAGTGGTATAGGAGCCAGATCAGGATACTCTTAGTCAAATTGGATTGATTTCTTTTGTGGGAAATAATAATTGATTTATTTTCGGAAATAATATCATGGGATACAGTACACAGTTTGGGCCACTACTTCAGTGAGTGAGTAGTAAACGTATGGAACAGGCCCCCTAGGGAGACAGACGGTGGAAGTAGAAAATGTAATTTGTTTCAAGAACAAATTAGATAGATTTCTAATAACTCAGGATGCAGTATATAGTTTGGGGCATGACATGTCAAGCGACTGCCAGGATGGTGGAAGACAAACTAGATGGACCTTGGTCTACTTTTGTCTAGCAAATTCTTATGTTCTTAATCATCTCCCACAGTCTGCCTCCTCTGCCTTTCCATTAGATTATTTTACCATATTTTAAAATCCCTTGCGTGTTTCAGCTTGGGTTAGTGACTGCTATCTGGTGAAGAAAGTCACAGTGCCAGGACCTATTGAGAGAGCCCCAGACATGACACTGGAAGGTGGTGGGGGGGATTGCGGAGAGGGTTGGAGAAAGGGAAGAGAATGGTTGGAAGTAAACTAAGATTAGAGGGGATAGGAAATAAAGAGGTGGTAAGGGAAAGGAGCTGGAGTTCACTAACATCAAGCAAACTGTTTGTATAGGTCTGTACCATCATTATCTTGGTTGAATGAACTTCACCATTGATTGTGACAGGACTGTAAATGCTGATAAAGACCTTCCATCATTGTCAATGCAGCTATATGCTAGTGACCCGGAAACATGTGATCTGCTTCTTACAGCAGTATCTTTAATAAAAAAATATCCCCCTCTCCACTTCCCACCATTCCTGTCAGGGTTTCTGATCTCTTTGGGACAAGCAGTTTGATAGCAGATGCAGTTTTTTTTATCCTGTAATGAATAAATGTACAAGGTGAAAAGTGAATTATTTTCCAATGACATAGAACCTGATAATTTCATTAGACGTATTGATAAAAACTGGAGTTCAATGGTTTTGTTTCTGAGCTGCAAGTTAGTTCAGATAACAGATAACAAGGTAATCAAGCTTCAATCTTCCACATTTGAACCCCTAATTTTATTACCAGAGATCCAGCGAGTATGATTGAGACCACTGTTGTGATTCATATTTGGATTCAAGAGCTGGTAATCTGACAACTATTAGATTCCTGTGTTCCCTTGTGATTGTGCTAATTCGTCACAACTAATGAGGGAAAGTCAATGTATTTCCAGTTTGGAGCTGTGAGGTTCATAGCTGCAGATGATTGACTAATTAAATAGATCCGAAGATTCTACAGTGTGCTCCACCCTGCCATTGCTCTTTGTTTTTGTTGGATAGGTGGGTTATCCAAATGTTGGTAAAAGCTCAACAATCAACACTATCCTTCGCAATAAGAAAGTTTCTGTGTCTGCTACTCCAGGCCACACAAAGCATTTTCAGGTAATTTTTGCTTCGAAATCTTAACATGATGGTGCTTTTGAAGCGCTTTGAGGCATCCTCCGACGTGAAAGGCGATGTATAAATATAATTTTTTGTTGTTGACAGTTGTAACTTATAATACTAGAATCATTTTTTGTTTAGACATCATAAGTAGAGCCTGACTTTTAGATTCTGTGACAATGTCTTTTTTTAATAAGAAAATAAGGTTTGCATTACAACACAAAAGGAGATTCTCAGAATAAACCGTGAGCGCGTGTGTGTGGGGTGGGGGGGGGGGGGGTGGTGGTGGAGGCTAGATTTATGAATAAAAGATGCTTTCTACTGTGTCACATGGGAACACACTGCTGTTTTCTAAAATGTATGATCAATCTCTTTAAAAAAATTGTGTAATTAAAATCTAGATGCTACAAAATGCTTAGAAATGTAATTGAAGTAATTTTGAGCACAACATTGGAAAACGACCTCCCTCTGATTCACGGAGCCCTTGAAGTGAATATCGGTTACAGGGTTGAATAAAAATTGCTTTGTGAATGAGATCCCTTTGAATTTTTTTTTCTGAGAATAGATGTGTGCAGTAGTATTGTGTTGCTGTGGTTGCAGTTTGTTTGGCAAGGCGCCTGTAATCAAAACATTGGGGCATATCACTGTGGCCAACCTTAAAATGCATGTGACTTACAATCCTGAATAATTGTCTTTCAGACGTTGTATGTGGAGCCTGACTTGTGTTTGTGTGACTGTCCAGGCCTTGTGATGCCGTCCTTTGTCTCTACCAAGGCAGAGATGGTGTGCTGTGGAATCCTACCCATTGATCAGATGAGGGATCATGTGCCACCCACCTCTCTAATATCCTTCAGAGAATGCCCACTCTCTAATTCTAGTTACGTGTCAAATGACTTGTGCCGTTGCCAAGAATTCTTCCATGCTGAACATTGTGGAGGTGTCCATGTTCCTGTTGCTGAGCTCACAGGGTTGACTCTTATGCATTGTTGCTCCTTGGCATTGGTGACCAGCTTATTTTTACCCTTGAGATGATTTACAAAACAATTTAACTTTACATAGGGCGGTTCAAGCTGGAGGGACAGACATCTCGAAGTGTTTGACAGTGCTGGGGTGGAGGGGGAGTGGATAGATGACCGAAAGAGCTCAGTCAAATAGGTAATTTTTTTTAGAAACCAACAACAGAGAAAACTCAGGAGGTTAGGCAGCATCTATGGAGAAAAGAAAGTGAGTCAACATTTCGGGTCCACGATCCTTCGTCAGGTATTTTTTAGGCTGGCATCGAACGAAGGGTGAGAGGGAGAGAGTTGGAGCCGGAGGGACTTCGAGATGGAGTTCCAGAGATTTGGAAATGATTGGGAGAAGGATGAGAATAAAGCTGTATTGTGATTGTTTGAAAAGTGTGTTGGTGTTGAGGGAATAGCCAGAAATACATTATGATGTGTCAAATTGCCTAAACAATTCAGAAATATCATTGAGAAAATGTTACTGTGACATATCTGTTACATGTTCTGCTTCCAATTATTAATATCTGGGATTCATAGTAATAATAGTGGTAGGCAATAGTTCCTCCCCAAATTTGGTTACTGTTTACAGTCAATCCACATTACAGTATATTCTGTGAAGCGGTTTGAGACGTCTCAGCGCGTGATAAGGTGCTATACTAAATGCAAGGATTATTATTATTATTGCAGAATCCTAGAATATTTACAACGCAGAATGGATCAGAATCGGTCTGTCTGGTTGGCGCTGGTTCTAGCGCCCTCTAGTGGACCCACTCTCTAATATCTATTGACTTGCTGAAAGTATACACGTTGCAGGTTCCTTGACTGGGTCACGTCTGCCAGCATATTCCCCGGCATGTTTTGGAGGCCACCTACGGAATTAACATCATTCGGCCCAGAGAGGACGAAGATCCAGATCGAGTGCCCACTGCCGAGGAGTTCCTGACCGCCTACGGATGTAAGTAGTAATAATAATCCTTGCATTTGATATAGCAGCTTATACACTTCTTCAAGACGTCTCAGAGCGCTTCGCAGAATGTACTGTAAAGTGAATTGACTGCAGTAAGTCTGCAGTAATGAGGATGCACTTATAATCCATGCATTCGATATAGCGCCTCATCACATCATCGAGGCGTCTCAAAGCGCTTCACGGAATATACTGTAAAGTAAATTGACTGTATGTTTTGGGGGCAAAACTTTACAGATATGAGAGGTTTTATGACCGCACATGGACAGCCGGACCAACCCAGATCGGCTCGATACGTTTTGAAAGATTACGTGACGGTGAGTAAACAGTTCTATGCTCTCACCGAATAGTTGTGATCAGTCAATTTAAAGAACCTGGCTGAGTTTCTGTGGCACAATTTGTGACTAAGTCACTGATACCCCAAACAGAATTATTTTGAAATAAAAACAGAAGTCGCTGGGAACACGCAGCAGGTCAGGCAGCATCTATGGAGAGAGGAAAACGAGTTATGTTTCAGGTCGATGACCTTTCGTCAGAGTTCTTTTGAAACCCATTTCACACTTTTTGTCATTGGCCATTCACTTCCTTTGGCTGTTTGTGGCTAAATTTTAAAGGTAATTTTAAAGGCATCTAGAGAAGAGCACAGGGAAAGGGCAGGAGGGTGGGACTCTATGGATAGCTCTTTTGAAAATCTCCAACTTTGTGTGTTTGTTTAGAAAAAACGCACACATATACACACACACACACACACACACAAAGCCATTTCACAGATGTTTTGCCTTTGAAAACTCCACGTTACTTGACATTTCATAAGAAGGTCATTGTAATCCACCATTAACAAGGTCATTATGATGGTGTATTTCACCGATTTTGGGTGGTGGGGGAAAGAGATTCCTGAGTTTTCTTGTTTTTAATTCCAGGGTAAGCTGCTGTACTGCCACCCTCCGCCTGGCATTGACTCAGCTGATTTCCAGTTCCAACACGACAGGTTGAAAGAGCCTGTGAGTGGGCAAGATGGTGCCAGGCTCCGAGGAATTCGCCAGCGGGTGAAGAGAATCGAAAACGATGTGGACAAGAGCTTCTTTCATCAGGTACAGAAGCTCACAAATAAAGAGGCTTCATAATGGGATTCAACTAGAATTCAGACACAGACAGCCTGATGTAATGGGAGTGGAATCCCAGGCATTGCTGTTAATGTTGCGATTGTCAGCACAATGTAAAATTGGATGTTGGGTTTCAAGCTAAATCGGGGGCAGAAAAACGTTTCAACAATGTTCTCATCTGATTATGTGAGTGGGATGAGTAGCCACAGTTTGAAGCAACAAGAAAACTTTTTCGGTATGGCTTTACCGCTTGCAAACTATGAGGTCTATTATTTCCCCTTGGACATTTTACCAATGTGAAAAGCGCTATGTACAGTAAACTCCTGATCGTTCGTCCCTGGCTTAACTTGTTACTACCACTGTAAGTCACCATGCTGTCAATATCGCCACTGCATTTATTTATGTATTTATACATATGTCTAACTTGCTGCTTCTGATAACTTGCCACTCAGCCTTTTCCCCTGCAGTGACAAGTTATCAGGAGTTTACTATAAATATAAAATTGTATTGTATTTGATGTAGTTATATAATTCAATGAAGTGTTAATATTTTACAGAATATGCCTGTTTATTGTTTTCTTAAATGAATTTTAATATTTTTCGGTTAAGCACCTTGGAACATTCTCCGGATGTGAAAGGTGCTATACAAGTGCGAATTGTATTGTCTTGTCATCAAATCGCATCACTGATGAGTTGGGGCATTGTTTTACTACAATAATGGTATTATTTTTGGGAGTGAGGCAGATTCTGTGGCTGTGGTGCATCAACCCTTTGATGTGTGTTTTGTTTTTGACAAAGGAAAACGTCCGCGCCTTGACGAAGGGAGTCAAGAATGTGATGGGATTGAAGCCTGGAGCGACACCAACAACAGGGAGCGACGTGGAGCCTGGGGCGGGAAAACCGTGGAAAAAACATGGCAACAGGAACAAGAAGGAGAAAGTCCGCAGACTTTGCAAACACCTGGACGGGTGAAGGAATGTCGGTTGCCGCCGCTACAAACTGGATAACCCCCTGAATAGTTTGCTACTCCTCAATGGAGTAGTGCAACTAAGAAGGCAACACGGTAAATCTGCGTAAGAAATTGACTTCAGTTCAGCTCTTAAGACATTTTGTTGGACACGCATTCATTTTTAAAAAAAAATAAAGTGTTGAGTACATGACAGTATTTGAAAATTGAAGTGACTTAGAATGATTCTGTTTCAGTGTGGAAGTTGTAATCCACATTATACAGTGGGAATTTAGAATTTCTTCAGGTTGCGTGAAAAAATTAATTCTGTTCAGCACAATAAAAAGGAATGTTTGTCGTAGAACTACGACTCTTTCAAATGTGTGCTTTTGCTTGTTATTTAATTATACTTTATCTCCACAAACGGTTTCTCCTCTAGCCCCCGCACCGTCTCGTGCCCCGTTCCTCAGGTCTCTGTCCTTGGTTCCCTCCTCAATATCTACATGCTCCCTGTTGGTGACATCATCCGCAGACATGGGATCAACTTCCACATGTATGTGGATGAACTCAATTCTATCTCTCTCTGCCTCCACCCTCGATTCCAGGACCCACTGCTGTCCTGACTGAATGTCTATCAAGACATCAAGGCCTGGATGAGAGCTAAATTTCTACAGTCAACAAGACCAAGGATCTCCCGATTGGCTTCTGTCAACGCCTCCCCACCTCAGGTGCTGACAGCATCACCATCCATGCACCCTACTTAGTCAATCGGGAACCTTGGGGTCTTGTTTGACCCTCAACCATATTTTCTATCACACATTTGCACCATGACCCGCTCTGCCTTCCCCCACTTCTGCAACATTGCCCAGCTCTGCCACTGTCTCACTGCATCCCCAATTCCTCACTTCATAGGCTGCAGATTATCCAGAACTCTGTAGCCCAAGTCTTCTCCCACACAAAACTCCATACCCAATCATCGTGCAACTCCACTGGCTTCCCAGCACACAGAGGATACAGTTCAAGATCCTGATCCTCACCTTCAAAGCCCTCCATGGCCTCGCTCCCTCCTACCTCTATGACCTCCTAACCCCCTACCATCCTGCCCTTTCCCTCCACTCAGCAGGTTCCGGCCTGCTTTATGTTTCCTGCATCACCCACCCCACCATTGGCGGTCGGGCCTTCAGCCACTCTGCCCCCCTTCTGGACCTCCATCCCACAATCCCTCCGCATCGCCCCCTCTCTTGCCTCCTTCAACAACAACAAGATTACATTTATATAGTGCCTTTTGCGTCGGGAGGACATCCCAGGGCGCTGGACAGCGTACAGCATTTCAGACCCAAGCTGGGGTCGGGGGGGGCGAAGGGAGGGGAGGGGAAGGGGGTTGGCCGATGGGATAGTCGAAAAGGAGGGTCTTGAGGGGGGACTTGAAGGAGGCTAAGGAGGGAGTGAGGCGGAGTGACTGGGGGATGGAATTCCAGAGGTTGGGGGCAGAAGGCTCTCCCGCCAATGGTGGGGCAGGTGGGTCGGAGGACGTGGAGCAGGCCATAGCCGGCTGAGCGGAGGAAACGGGCGATTCAAGACCTCCTCTTCGACCACCCCCCTTCCCCTCCCAACCCATGTCCTCCGCCCTTCCCTGATCCCAACCCCCAGCTCAGGTCTGAAACATTGACTGTAATTTTGTTGTTTTGCTGCATATCGCAGCCGTTTGTGATGAATGAGAAGAGATGGTTCTTATCTGATTCCAAGTTAATGATTTTCAGTCGACTTTTCTGCCCACACTGCACCAGCTCAGGTGCCGAGCCAGTCAGCTGTGTAAAGCCCTTTCAGGCGTCCTCTCAACAATTCAAGGCTGGAACAATTGCTGGATTTTTTTTGTGAGTTTTGGCTTACTGTGCGGAGGGTGTACCACTTTGTGTGGGTTGTAATAACGTTGTGTTCAAATGATTATCACAGAGTTTAAATATGTGTTTTTATCTTGATGGCAGGAATAGAACAATGTATGATGAGATAATAAACCCATTCCATTTGATAGTTCCTTTCGTATTGGGAGCAGGTCTAAAAGTGCACAACAATGAAAAGGTCTTCATGCGATACACAACAATGACTTGCATTCGTATAGCACCCTTCACGTGGGGTAACGTCTCCGAGGGCTTAAAAGTGTCAGAGCCTGATATGAGTCTGGGGGAGGTAGGAAGTGACTGTAAGCACGGTGGAAGAAAAAGGTCTTCAGGCCTGATCTGAAAAAGGGGAAGGAGGGAGGCAAGGTGGAGGGATTGAGGAAGAGAACTCCCAAGTATTGGGGCGCAGTGCTGAAAGCAAGCGGACCGCTGGTGGTGCGGAGGGTTTGAGGGAAAAGCAGAAGGCCAGAGCAGGCGGTGGAGTGGGGAGTAAGCAGGTCGGAGAGATAGGGTGGTGTTAGGGGGTGAGGCGATTTGTATTCGAGCGAGGATCTTGAAGTCAATCTGTTCTGTGGAACCTGGCGAGGACTGGTGTGACTGGGGTGCGCAGTTTAGAGCAGGTGAGCATCCGGACGGCGGAGTTTTGAATCAGTTGGATTTTGTGGATAGTGATGTTGGGGAAACCAGCAAGGGGGGGGCATTGGCGAAGGTGACGAAAGAGTGGAGGGGTTTCAGCTGCTTGGTTGTCAGGTACAGTTGGAGGCAGGCAATGTAACAGGGTGGCAGAGGGTGAGGGTGGGGGGGCTGCTGTGAAGTGGAGTGACCATCTTTAGTGGTCGAAAACAGCAGCCAATTTGCACACCAGCGAATTTGCACACCAGTGATACCCCCGCTGCAAGGCAACCAAGAGGTAAACGACCAATTTTTATACAGTAAAACGCGCACAAAACCTGATCTACGTAAAAAGCATACGATCGCGTACAGCTTCCCAAGACCCACTCAAGAGTTTATATTTCTATGCAAGTTCGACACAACTCATAACTTTTGGCACAACTTGAGTCAATGTTAAACGTACGGGACCCAAACTGACACGATTTAGGTGAAGTTTACTGCATTCGGGAGGAATTGGGAAATTGGGAATACAATACATTGTGCATTGCTGGCTGAGTGAGCCAAGAATTTGCAATTGAGGGCGGGTACAGACAGGGCTGGGCTCTGGGACTGACTGACAAAACAACCTCCAGGAAGGAAGGGGAATGCACACAAGGAGTTGGAAAGTTCAGTCGTTCCTCAGCTCTGCAGAAATCGATCGGTTTTGCAACAGCCGCCGCCTTTTACCAGTCGGGAGAGTCAGTTTCAATCACTGTCTTGTCTTTTCTGCAAAACACTGCCCGAAAATAGACAGGTGTGGGAGATCTTTCTGTTTGGGCATTCACCTGCGCAAACAATGGAGGGATTGAGTTTGCAAAGCAAAGGCTCTGTGTGTGTTTTTTCTCTCTCACTCTCACACCCTCTTTCCTTTCCTTCTGGTGAAATGGCTTGAGATTTTTTTTTGGAGAGAGGCTGGTGTTTTAAACTCGGGGCAATGCGGTCGGTTTGAAATGGTCAGATGTCAGGCGAGCAGGAAAGGCAAAGGAGAGGTTAAAGCACCGTTTGCAGTTGGATTGTCGCACAGCGTGAAATCAGCATCGTGTTTTTTTTGCCATGAGGTTGTTTGGCTACAACAGCGTCCAAGCAGGAGACAACCTGAGCCAGGATGCTGCTACCTCAACCCTATGGAACTGGAATTACTGGATCAATTGCTTCACCCAAGATAAAGTCTGTGTGTCCTTCACACTCTGGGTTTTATCCTTGCTGTTTTTGGGCATCTCTCACAGCATGTAAGTACAACAAGGGTTAACACTAATTGTTTCCGAAATCTCCTGTTTCTTTTTAAAACTATAAAACAAGGGATTGCGTATGTGTATGTGGGGGGGTAGAGGAATTAAAAACTTCAGGTGTTGCATTGTTGCTTCCTTCTTGAGTGAGCTGGGATAGGGGAGAGGGAAGTACATTCTTGCATTGGAGAACAGAGCAATGATATTACTCGTGAATTATGGCTTTTATAGCACAAAAGACGGGAGGGTAATACATAGTTTCTTGTAGACCCGAATCCCAGTTGGAAAATACTTTTCATCTTGTAAAACAAAACTTTTTTTAAAAAAAACATCCTGAACAGCGTCATAACTACGAGACTCACAGCGCACAAGATTTGCTGGAATATTTTTCTTTTTGGCTGTTTTGCCACTGTTTGTCTCCTGTGTTAATTCAGCTATCACGTGCCCTCCTTTAAGGCCTGTCTCAAGACTATACTCTTTGACTGTGCTTTCAGCCAACCTCTCAACCACCCTGGCCTCCCACTCCTCTTGATTCCAACCCCCAGCTGGGGAGCAAGCCCTTAACTATCCAGCGCGTTGTGATATCCTTCTGAATGAAAGGAGCTAAATCAGTGAATTTTGTTGTTGTTACCTGTGTGCAATTTTCTCACCTTGGCCATATATCACGTGAAAGGCCAGGACATGGCTGAAGGACATGCAGTTTGAAGAGATTCTTGGTTCCTTGCAGCAACAACAAAAATAAATTACGTTCACACAGGGTAGGGGTAGGAGGGTAACCAAAGGCATAGTCGAAGAGGAGGTTCTTGAGATGGGCCTTGAAGGAGGTAAAAGAAGGAGTGAGGCGAAGGGATGGAGTTCCAAAGGATGGGGCAGAAAGGCTGAAGGCCCTTCCGCTGATGGTGGGTCGGGTAGGGCGGGGGACATCGAGCAGGCTGGAGCCCGCTGAGCAAAGGGTTCAGATAGGTCAGTGTGGAGCTCACAGGTGGAGTTTGTGGTTGATTGTAATGTTTTACTTAATGTTCTTTCTTCCCCTCCTCCACCACCTCCGACCCTCCAGAATATTTTATTTGCAATGCCAGCGAAGGCTTAGAAGAGAAGACTATGTGTCTTGTGCCATTTATGCTTTCCTGGGGAATGTGTGCAGTACGTTTGGGGCACTTCTAGCAAAACAACTGAACATTCAGGTTGGCAAGACTTTTCTATGTTAATCTCTTTGAGGCTCACTCATCATCCAGCTGTAAATAATAATAATCCTTGCATCTGACATAGGTGTTTTATCATGTCAATGAGAAGTCTCAAAGCGCTTCACAGAAATTGTAAAGTGGATTAACTGTGTATTTTGTGGGCGACAGGCAATAAATGAATAAAATTCACTTGGACGAGAGATTGGCAGGGCATTGGGGAGAGGAGAAACGTGACATTTTAAAACAAAATTAGTAATATGTTTTTCTTTAACGCGAGAACAGGTCTCACTGTTTTCTGGCTGTGAAGTTATGAATGCAAAATAAAGTATTCTGTGCAGATGAATGTTTGTTTGCCCGTTGGCTGTTTGTGGGTCACTGCTCTGTGTAATTTGGCTGCAGCTCACGCCCTCAAAAGCACACACAGTCACACCACTTTACAGTTTATCTTGTGGAGCGCTTTGAGACGTCTCAATGTTGAGGCCGATCCTATAGAAAACCAGACCTAGATTTTGTCGGCAAGGATCAGCCTGGGGTTGAATTGAGGCTCAGCAAGTTGGCCTCCGGTTAGACTGCTCCGCAGTAAGGTTGGCTCAATCCAGTTTGAACAAAGGATTGTGTATTCTTATCCTCGTACGGACCAGGATACATCCACAGTTTAGCAGTGGCTATTCTATTCCCTCCATATTCTGTGTGACTCATCTGGCTTCGCTCCAGCGGCATTGTTGGGTGAAGCTGTGTGATCCTGTGTCAAGTTTAAAAGTCAGGGTCGACACCTTAGCCAAGTTTCCTTACTCCAAACGCCTCTGTTTACCCAGCAGTAAATAGGAATCCAGTTGTTGGACGATCACCGGGTGAACAAAGTGTAATTGGAGCAATCTAACTGGATATCGGCGAGGATGTTTCAACTTTCTACTGCTGCTTTGAGTGTTATAACTCAGCCACTCTGTCTTCCTGTACAAGGGATTTTAAGGGCACTTCGTATGGTGGTAACATCAAATTAAAAATATTTGACGTGTCGGTCTGCATTTGATATAGCACCTTATCACATTGTCGCGACGTCTCAAAGCTCTTCACAGAATATACTGTAAAGTGGATTAACTGTGCATGTTACGGGCGAAACACAGCAGCCATTTTTTTAGGGATTATTACCCCTCCGGGAATCAAAACCAGATCCTCTCGCTTGCGAGGCGAGCGCGCTAACCAATACGCTACAGGACACTTGGTAGCAGTCTCACCGCCCCATCAGGAGGTTGTGAGTTCAAAGCTCCACGGGGGACTTTGAACTCACAGGATATAATGCTGAAACTTCAATATGGCCAACAACCACACCCCCCACACACCCCCACCAGGTAAGGTTGGTCATTCACTTCAGGGCTGTTTGTGGGCTATTGCTGTGCTCAAATTGGCCTACCGTTCACCTACAAAATACACAGTCACAACTGTTTACAGCAAATCCTGTGCGGTACATTGAGACATCCTTCTGATGAGATCTTTACGTCCTTATATGTGATAAGACCTTTAATTTAGGGTGTCATCACACATAAGGAACTGATGAGACCTTATATTAAATGCAAGGATTACTATTATCCTCTTTGAAGCTGTTTGTTTGAGATTGATGATGATCGACAATCTTAACTGCCTCTTTGCCGAGAGAACAAAAATGGAAATAGCTGAAAAGCAGCAACACAATAGAGGGAGGGGGCAAGAGTGAGGGAGGAGGAGGAGAGAATGATTTGTTCTAATATTTTATGTGTTTTATACCTTTCCAGGTTTTTACAGGGGCGTACATGGCAGCTGTGGACATTTTTCGTTTTCTATTAATCCTCTTCCCCATGTGCGGTTCAAGATCCAGATCAAAACCAGGTAAAAACTTCTGCCATTGTCTGCTGAGCAGTGAAAACTATATCTGTAATCTGAGTAGGGCCAAGTGGGAGGATTATCACTCTGAATCAGGTAACAAGTGGAGCAAAACAACACCAACTTGCGCTTTATATGACCTCTTCACCCAGGATAAAATATTGGAGGGCTGACAAACCTCACAACTGCCTTTAGAACAGTAGAGGGGGAAGGGTTAGAAGGGTTTCTTTTCACATAAGCAGAGGGTTACACAGTCCTGTAGCATATTGGTTAGAGCACTCGCCTAGCAAACAAGAGAGCCCGGATTCGATTCCTGGATGGGGTCAAACCTTAGGCAAGTTTCCCTACTCCACACGCCTCTGCGTACCTAGCAATAAATAGCAACCCGGTTGCTAGTTGATTGGGTAATAATCCCTTATAAAAAGAAAAGAATTTGGTTACTCAATCCATGACTGTTGTGGCACACTGTTGTGTGTAATCGACTGCCGCGTTTCAGCCACAAAATATAGTCAATTCACTTTACAATATATGTTCTGTGAAGCTCTTTGAGAGGCCTCTGCGCTCTGGGATGCTACCCTGCATGAGAGGCACTATATAAATGCAAGTTGTTGTTGTCGCTTTCGCTTTACAGTGTATTCTGTGAAACTCTTTGAAACGTCTCAAATACGTGATAAGACACTATATCGAAAGCAAGGATCATTATTGTTATGAGAACGTGGAACGCTTTCGCACAAGTTTCTCTCGAAGCTAAAACAGTATTGATGTATAGCAGAGAGTCGGATATTTTAATGGGTCAAATAATAATAATCCTTGCATTTGATATAGCACCTTATCACGTATTTGAGACGTTTCAAAGAGTTTCACAGAATATACTGTAAAGCGAATTGACTGTATATTTTGTGGACGAAACGCTAACCAGTTGCCCAATTGCGCACAGCAGTGTCCTATAAACAGTCGTGAATTGAATGACCCATTTTTTTTGAAAGAAGGATTATCCCCGCCAATCAACTAACAACCAGGTTCCTACTTACTGCTAGGTAAACAGAGGCTTCGTTCTGTGCTTTAACTGCTATGATTGTACCAGTGAACTGGCTGGGATCCATTTTCAAAGTGAATTCACCTTCAGAATATCCTGCAGGAATATCTAACATGTCAGAAAGCATAGACTGTCTCACAGGCACAGGGCAGTTCAAACTAATGCTTACTTGGAAGACTTTAATCATCAGCACTACCTGGCTGCCTAGCATTTTATTGACAATTACTATTGTTCTCTACTGTTTTCTTTCTGTGAGTCTAGAAATACCAGTTTTTCTTTCTGGCTGGATATTGACATTTGCTACCAGTGAGAGAGAAGCAATATTCTTTCTTTGCGACATAATTAGCAAGTGTGAGCTCTTACTTTCATGGTTAACAGAGCATGGCATTGTTTTATTCGCACTTTAAATTGATGTGTGTGTGTGTGTCTGTATAATTGTGAGTGTAATAAATCCAATTTCCCTGCAGCATTCCAAGAGTGGTTTCTCTCTCAATTGCACTGCTCATAAATTGTAGTGTATTGCTCCTGCTAAAGAAACTATCACATTTTACTTGGAAACCTCCTCAGCTTCTCGCTCTACAAACTCCGCCACCCTGAACTCTGCAGCCTGTGTCCTCTGCTCCACTAGTCTAGGCGATCCCATTACCCCATCCTCTCCTGACTCTCCGTCTCCCAGCAGATCAACCACTGAGAACCCGCATCTCATCTAGGTGATCTCCTGTGACCTTACTCCCCCAACCACTACCTTCCTGCTCTGTCAACAAACATAATACCTGCACTGTGGAGTAGTTAACACACTCGCCTCACAAGCGAGGTGACCTAGGTTTGATTCCAGGGCAGAACAAAACCTTAGGTATGTTTCCTTACTCCACGCACCTCTGTTTACCCAGTTGTTAGTCGATTGATGGATCACTTTTGGGGGTAATAATCCCTCCCCCCCCCCCGAAAAAAAATCTTGGCACTCAACCCACTACTGTTTGTGGGACACTGCTGTGCACAATTAGCTGCCGCATTTTGCCCACAAAATACACAGCCAATCGACTTTACAAAATATCCTGTGAAGCCCTTTGAGACGTCTCAATGGCCTGACAAGGCACTGAATCAAAAGCAAGGATTATTATTATTATTACTTGTCATGAACTCACTTTGAAGTGCCTTTGAAGTGCTTTGGCGCTGTAAGCACTGCTTAAAACAAGGCATTTTTCTTAAAGCAGGGTGTTATGATGTGGTTCTCTATGTAACCAAAATGAATTTGAAACCAATCATGAAGGCCGTTTCTCTCGCTCCCAGCCCCTCCCTATTACTTTCTGAACATTCCTCGGCTTTTTTCCGAAGCAGGCTTTCAAAGTGGGAGAAATTCCACCCACGTCTCAATTTACTCTTCATTTATTCGGGCACTTCACAGCATTCGGGATTCAGCAAGCTGTTGAGTCGAGTCTTAATTTTGAAGCTGGTTCTCGAAAGGAAACGTGCAGGAAAATGAAGGGCTTCAAGCTGTAATTTTAAGAATTTGCCAAATTCTGGATGCTCTGAAAATGCTCTGGAATGAAGTAAATCTAGATGCGAGTGGAATTTCTCCCCCACCCCGTACACTCCTCCTCACTACCTCTGCAGCCTATTAAAACTTCACCAACCTGTCCGCTCCCTCCACTCTGCAGGCAGTGGCCTGCTCCACATCCCCCGTCCATCTGCTCCACTATTGGAGGTCAGACCTTCAACCTTTCTGCCCTTACCCCTCTGGAACTCCATCCGCCTCAGCCTCTCCCTTTCCTCCTTCAAGGCCCGTCTCAAGATTTTCTTATTTGACCATTTCCAGTCATCTTCCTTCCTCCCCTTCCGCGCCCTCCATTCCTCTCTGACCCCAAAGCTTCAGCTCGGGTGCAAACCCCTTATTGTCTGGGCCCTTGGGTCATCCTCTCAACACGAAAGACGCTATATAAATAGAATTTGTACTTGTTGTTGTTGGGGAATATTGTCAGAGTACAGAGCCTCTGCTGCTTTGAGATATCTCAACATCATTTGACGAGGAGCTATGTCAAATGGAAGGGTTATTATTATTTTGACCTGTTTTGTTTTAATCGGGTTTGCAGGGAAACCTCTGCGACAGCGAAAGAAAAGGAGAAGACGCACTTTGTTCGTTGCTTCGCTGCCTTTTATTCTAGGCTTGAACTATTACTGCTGGGCTGCTCCTGTGCCGGCTGATGTTAGCGGGCTAAGAAGGAGGCTACTCACCACAATACTTCAGGTAAAACATTGCTGCCTTCTCCCCTGCTATCTCCCATGTTTTGTTTTCGGTCGGCCGGGCGTCTGACGCAAGCGGAAACCCACCCCCGTGCTTAAGAGTGTCCAAACCAAGATGAGAATACCATGCGTTCCCACCTTCACATGGAAATTCCAGAGGTAGATTGCTGGAATGGAACTCGCGCTCTCTCCCTGGAGGGAAAGCATGCTGCTCACAGATTCCGGGAAGCATTAGGGGCAGGTTGTCAAGAGCGAAGGCTTGGCACCCACTCGGTGATTCCACAGATTGCGCGTAAACAAAACACTACGAAATCTGAAGAAGTTTTGCTGAGCTGGTCCAGTGCTTTGACTTTTCACCTGTTTACTCTTGAATAATGAGTGTTTCTGGTTTTTCATTTTTTTTTTATTTGTCGACCCGCACCATTTGCCTTTTTTTTTAAAAAGCCGTCCTTTCCACTTGAAAAATGGCCGGAAGGACGTCACCGATGTCACTTTCTGGCGCCAAGAAAGCCGAGTCACTGTGCGACACGGTGAACTGTACAGCGCACAGGAAGTGATATCTATTGGCAACTTTACAACAACCACTCGCCCCCTTCACTCACGGGGCAGTGTCTCGGATTGTTTAACAATGGCGGAGCCTGACCCCGAGCCAGCGAGGAGGGAAGAGGTGACCGCAAGCACGTTCGAAGAGGAACGTCTTCAACCTGGCTCTTTAAAAAGAAACGATACGAGATGGGAATTCATTTTCACCGATTTGGCGAAAATTGGAAAATAAGGCCAATCGCCATTTTTTTTTCTCTCTCTGATTAAAATGGGGGAAACCTATAAGTGATGAGTTTATCAATTATACTATTAATTTTTTTTAAAACATTACGTATTTCACAGGACAACACGGAAATTATTGGCTATGCGCTGGGAGTGACTGCTGTTGCCATTTGTTGGACGTCAAAGGTATCTCAGATATTGTGGGCGGTAAGTAAGAGTGACCAGTCTATGAGCAAAAGAAATGCCTGATTGTGATGCCTAATTGCTGTGTTGCTCAGAGCAATAGTAGGATCATTGTACCAATGTCTGGTTATAAGCTGTATCTTTGTCTGGCACTGTCCATTGCGTACAATTGGGATGTAATTCTTTATGTGTGATAAATGGATGATAACCTCAGCTGGGAAAGGCAGTATGTATGCTAGGATCCCGCTGCCTGGAGCTGGAGGGAACAGTGAGGTACTGTTTTCCTTCAGAGGCAGAAGGCTTGAATACAGATAAAACTGCCTATTGAAGCTCAGGTCATCACAACACTTGACAGAAAATTGTGGGGTCCCTTAGCGTAGTGATCAGCACGCTCGCCTCGCGAGCAAGACGATCCAGATTCGATTCCCGAGTGGGGACAAACGTTAGGCAAGTTTCAGCATGCCTCTGTTCGCCTGCAGTAAGTAGAAACCTGGCTGTTAGTCGATTGATGGATTGCTTTCCGGGTCCAATAAAAATAAAAGATCACTTAATCCACGACTGTTTGTGGGACACGGGTGTGTGAAATTGGCTGTCATGTTTCATTCACAAAATATACAGTCAATTAAATGTACAGTATATTCTATGAAACGCTTTTGGACATCACAACAACATGATAAGCCGCTATATCAAATGCAAGGTTTATTGTAATTGGAGATGTGTTTCCAGAACCGGTGGAAAAGAGTATGTTGGGGGGAGGAGGGAACGCAGGGAAATTAGTGTTGGTGCACTTTATTTGGTTAACTCCTAGTGTGGGGAAGGGGGAAGGTAAGGGGACTGAGGTCCAGAGGATGCAGGAGGAAGGAACAGAATATTGTGTTAGGAGGCAGTCTTCACCAACCATGAGGCTAGTTGGAAAAAGCTCCCCTTGTCCTGACCAACAAGCACCCAAGAAAAGTTGGTCATTCACATGGGATGTTGGTGTCACATTCGCCTACACATTACGGTCACTATACTTTACAGTAAATCCTCTGAAGTGCTTTGAGACATCTCTCTGAGGTGATAAGGCGCTTATTATTATTGTTGTTGTTATCCTTAAAATTAATAATAATAATAATCCTTACATTTGGTATAGCACCTTATCACATCTGAAGGACATCTCAAAAGTCACTGTATTTGTAGGCAAACGCAGCAGTACAATAGCGCACAGCAATGACCCACACACAGTCATGAAATGAGTGACCGATTTTGTTTTGGATGGGTGACCGGGACTTTTGACCATGTTAATCGAAGGGGTCTGCTTTGTCTTACAGTGCAAAGGAAATGTGGATTCCAGTCTCTGGAAATGGGTGTGGATCTTTTCAATCCTGGGCAACGTTGTGTATTCCGCAGCCATTCTGTGTCATGACAAGCACCTCGATTTTATCCTGCAAGCTCTGCCCTGGCTACTGGCCTCACTTGGTGCTGCATCTATGGACATTACTGTATCCTTTCCAAGGAGGGGAGAAACCTTTCAGCAAGTTTCCTTACTCCACACAATTCTGTTTACCTCGCATAAGTAGGAACATGGTTGCCAGTTGATTGGCGGATTGCTTTCCGGTGGTGATCATTCATTCAACAAAAAAAGTTATAATTTTACTCAATAATAATAATTGAGTGATCTACAGTCAGGGGTCACTCAATCCACAACTGTTTCGGGGGACACTGCTGTGTGCAATTGGCTGCCACGTTTTGCCCACAAAATACACAATCAATTCATTTTACAATATATTGTGTGAAGCTCTTTGAGATGTCTTGGTGATACAATAAGGCGCTATATCAAATTCAAGGATGATTATTATTATAAGTGTAAAGAAGTACTTATTGGGAAATATGGACATGTCAGTCTAGTTCAGTTAGTAGCACTCTCATCTATGAGGGCAGCGGCAGAAACCTGTCAAGAAAATCCTGGCTGAATTGTGAATGAATCTCGGAAAGTGAGTGGGAGAAAGAGAGAGTGAAAGAGATAGAGAGTGGGAAACTAACCAGATACGTTAAAGCACAAGGTGAAGATCCCTGTTTGAATGTTGAATGATTTCACCCATAAAATACACAGTCAATTCACTCTACAGTATATTCTGTGAAGTGCTTTGAGACGTTTTAACGACATGATATGGCGCTATATCAAATGTAAGGATTATAATAATAATTATTATTATTATTTGCATTTGATATAGCCCCATATCACATCATCAAAACGTCTCAAACTACTTGAAACTGCAACAAAAAATATAAATAGAAACAATCCCAGATGTTGTGTGTTTTTATTTAACAATAATCATCCAGTCGTTGTTTTTATCATGTCTGATGAAAAATAAAAGAGCCCGTCAGCAGTGGGGTGTGGAGGTTGTTATGGAATCTGATACCATCTCTCTGCTGGAATCTCCTGGACAAGATGAACAAGACCTATTGGAAGAAGAGTTGATGCCCATGGGATCCCAGGTACTAAGATTTGATGCAGCTTTCCTCTCTGTTTGGATCAGTTAAACTTCAAGGTGTCAGGCTGGCTCAGTCGATAGTGCTCTCGCCTGTGAATCAGAAGTTTGCTGGTTCAAACCCCACATCGGGACTCTGAACTCGTTTAGTCTAGGTTGAAGCTTCGATAAGGTGCAATGTTGGACGTGACGTTCATTAGATCATGCGGGACTGTTCGATAAAGAGAAGAGAGTTTCTCTCTCCCAGTATGCCATCCATCCAACAATTGGCCCCCAGATAAAATTGATCATTCACTTCATCGCTGTTTGTGGGTTCAATGCTGTGTACAAATTGGTTGTCAAGTTTCACTTGCAAAATACGCGGCCAATGCACTTTACAGGAAATCCTGTGAAGCACTTTGAGACTTCTGCACAATGTGAAAGGAACTCTCTCAATTGCAAGGATTATTATTTTTCCCTCTGGTGATAATCCTCAACGTGTCCTCTCTTGTTACTGTTTTATTGATTTGTCCTGGAAATTACTGGAAGGTCTCTTTCTTACACTCTCTATTAAAAACAATTGATAATTTGGAAAATTTCTATTAGATTCCCCTCTTAACCTTCTCTGCTCCACCCTGTTTCTCAAGTGCCTACACATGCCTGAGACCTCTCTTCATTTGTTTCAGAATTCGGACTGGATGCCACTCAATATCCCTCAAAACAACAGATACTTGCGCAAAATGGCAGAAATAAGCCACTATATGGATATGAGTATGAGTATTGAACCAGTACAAGAGGTAAAGCTATAGCCAGTAGATCATTATACAGGGGCTATATTTATACCAATCTGTCAGTCACTTGGTTTGTTGCTTCGACTGAATCAAACTTATTGCCTTTTATCACTGAATGCCCGTTTGTCTGCCTCACATTGTAGTTCTTCATTTCATTGCTTCTCTTTTGCTGTTTCATTAAAAATATGTATTTCTCTGATGTGGGGAGGGTTGGAGGCTGTGGTGTGGGAGGTGATTGTGTGTGGAAATATACATATAGCCTTTCTCCTATATGTGTAATGTTTGTGTCAAACTATTCATTGTTCAGTTTGCAGATGGGAATGCCTTGTGTTTAACTGAAGCAGAATAGGTCACTACTAGCAGAATATACAATTTATATTATTAGTAGTAGTATGGTGGTGAAATAGTTTCAATGGTGTTGCTGAGAAAGCATTTTTAAGGACAGGATTGGAGCTAACCTGGCCAAAGTTTGGAAACATTGTCACTCAGCACATACGCACATCACTTTTCCTGACAGCAATCAGTGCCAACGGTGATTTCACTCGAGAGCAGCATTCTAACTTAGATGCTCTAGCTCAACCCTGAAGATAGATGTCTCATAGAGGGCTCTTGTAGAGGTATATACAGTTGTAAATGGGATAGAGAAATTAAATGCAGAGCAAAACTTTCAAGACACCAGAAGAAGAGGTCATAGGTTCAAGGTTGCACGGGGCAATTTGAGAACAAACACAAAGAAGTATTTCTTTACACAGAAGGGAATTAACAGGTGGCATGGTGCGATCCATTAACCTCAGCCACTGGAAGTGGTATAGCTTGAACAAACAAGCTCAATGGTATAGTAGAAGGACAGCAGGGTGAGTTTTCTGGAAGCATGAGATCAAATGGGACAAAGGGGCTTCCTCATCTGATCTTGTTGCAATAAGCACTGAGAGTAGAGGAGGGATGGGGTAAAATTCTATGTATAATGCTGTTGCTTTTTACATTTGAATTACTTTGTTTTGTACTTTAATTTGAATTTATCCCTGTCAATGATATGTAAATACAGAGAATTATATAATATGGGTGATGGTTGTTTAATTTACCATTTCTTGTTTAATTTTCAAACCCACGGCCTGTTGACCTGACAGCATTGACTAATCCTATTGCTGGATCTCTGTGTAGAGACCGAGAGCATGGCCTGTGGAAAGAAATAAAGAGAATTGTTTTTGACATTAAATTTCTGTGTGTTTGTTACAAAATAATTAGTGTAAAGCTTTACCAAGGAGGTGGGATACTTGGCAAAGCAGGTCGATCATCAAGCTTTGACTCAATAAATAGAAATAATTATAGATTCTGTACATTTGACACAAAATCAGAGAGAGGGGTTGGCCTTAGGGGCAATGTCTGATATCAGAACTGAAATAATGGGTTAAACTAACCCCCTACAGGATAGATAAGGGCCATATAAAAAAATTACAACCAATTTTCACTGATGTATAACTTTTTTGGTGAAACTTCATCGGCAAAATAAAAGGTTACACCAAATTTTATTTTTACAACCCAAATTACAACCCAAAGCAATTAGCAGTTCCATGATTGCGAGCCTGTTTTGCAATGTCAGAACCGGTAGTGCAATGAGGCCAATTTCAGGGTGGGTCGGGGTTATCAGGAAGGGTGATCGAGAGCTGGACGCTGGGTTCATTTAATGCGTTAACATGTTCGAAATGCTCGGATGCTCGAAAATTTCACCAAATGTGCCCATCTATTTTTATGTGTATTTTGCCTCTCTCGATTTTTTTCCTCCCTATTTGGTGGAACAAATATCTCTAGAAACCTTCCCACCTGCAACCTCCCCAAAAAAGCATCAGGTAAATTACTTTCCTGGTGTTTATGGATAGAGAAGGGAGACTGCAGTTTATAAAATCATAGAATTATAGAATCTTACAGACCACCTTACTTCTGCCAGCTCTTTAAAAAAGCTATCCAGTTAGTCCCGACCCCCGCTCTTTCCTGGTAGCCTTGCAAATTTTTGCCTTTTCAAGTATCTATCTAATTCTCTTTTGAAATTTATTGCTGAATCTGTTTCCACCATCCTTTCAGGCAGGGCATTTTACTGACTGTGTAGAAAAAAAAATTCTCCATCTCTCCTCTGGTTCTTTCGAAAATTATCATAAATCTGTGTCCTCTGGTTACCGACCCACCTGCCAGTGGAAACAGTTTCTCCTTATATACTCTATCAAAACCCTTCATTGGTTATTGAATACCTCCTGTTATACATGGATTATTGATCATTGCGTTTGTTGCAATTCTGCCCTTCACAATAACAGTCTTCAGCCCCTGTGTACTGTACCTGCTTGTGATTGTAGACTGAATTTGGTGTTAAACGGTCACCTGGAGATGGACAAATCAGCACAGAAAGGGAGAGAAAAGGGGATCATGCGCTGTTTGCCCAAGATCCCCCAACATATCCTCCGAAGCAAATCATCCATGCGAATGTGTCCTCGTGTAGCTCCTCGGATGTAACATCAATTAACTCTGAACTGGAGGTAAGCAGTAATCCTGCATTTGCATTTTAAATGCAACCGGGAGGGAGGGGGGAGTAAATCCTTAATCATCATGACCAGAGCAACCCTGGTGGTTTGGTTGGAGATTAATGACATTCCATCACCTTTTGCAGGTTGTGCTACTGTTTGTTGTTTTGCTGACTTGCCTTTGCATTTTTCACCCTGTCCCCCTCTCTCCTTCCTTCCGTTATTTTTGACTGTGACTAATCCTATTCATTTTAACGCAATTCAGAAATTAGGTCAAGCCAAATGGGGCTCAATTTTAACATTTGTATAATTTCTTAAATTTAAGAGGGAAGCATTAATAATCGTTGTCACATCAAAATGACTGCAAGACTTCACAGGCATCAGAATAATATAATAATATTAATCCTTGCATTTGTTATAGCGTCTTTGACGTCAGGAGGACATCTCAAAGCGCTTTAGAGGAATTACTGTCAACTTTAGTGACTGTGCATTTTGTAGGCGAATGCAGCAGCTAGTTTGCGAACATCAATGTTCCACAAACAGTCATGAAGTGAATGAATGATTTTTTTTCTCTCTCCAAGGGATTGTTGGCAGGGATATTGGGAGAATCTCCCTTGTTTCAAATAGTACCTCGGGATCGTTAATGCCAAAGAGAAACAGGTAGTCGGGACTTTGGCCTTACAATAACTCATTTCCTCCACACAGTAGTCAGTCTAAAGGGCGTATTTAAAGGCACTCCCTGATTTGCTCTGTACATAGTGCAACTGGCCATTAGCTGATGAGAAATCTCTGGGACCTGGACTCAGAGTGAGCTTTTAGCAGCTGAGTTCGCAATGATGGACACATTATACATTAGAATATACAGCACAGAAACAGGCTATTTAGCCCAACTAGTCTATGCCGGTGTTTATGCTCCACATGAGCCTCCTCCTGCCCTTCAACTAAGCCTTCAAGCCTAACCTTCTATTCCTTTCTCCCTCATGTACCTGTCTAGCTTCCCCTTAAATAATTTGCCTCAATAACTCCTTGTGGAGCATATTCCACATTCCATTACTCTGTGTGAAGAAATTTCTTCTAACTTCCCTATTTGATCTATTTGTGACTATTTTATACTGGTTTTGGTCTCCACCACACGTGGAAACATCTTCCCTATAACTTTCATCATTTTAAAGACCTCTATCAGGTCACCCCTTACCTTTCTCTTTTCAAGAGAAAAGAGTCCAAGCATGTTCAGCCTTTCCTGATAGGTATAACCTCTCAGTTCTGGGATCATCCTTAAATCTCCTTTGCAGTCTTTCCAGTGCCTCTACATCCCTTCTGTAATGTGGGGAGCAGAACTGCACACAATATTCTAAGTGTGGTCTAACCAAGGTTTATAATAATAATAATAATAATAATAATAAAGGTTTGATAGACGTTGACCAGAACTTCCCTGTTTTTCATTTCTATCCTTCTAGAAATGAACTCAATCAATGCCTGGTTTGCCTTTTTATGGCCTTATTAACCTGTATTGCTACTTTTAATGAATTGTGTACAAGTACCCAAAGATGCCTTTGCTCCTCTACCCCATTTAGGTTTTTCTTTTCCAGGATGTATATGACAAACTTAAGTTATCTTTGAAGAGTTATCCTTAATTACCCCTTGTGCTGTTTAATACTTGATCGTTGTTGTGGCTGTGATTATAATGGTAGAATGTGGGCAGTAGATACTTGTGATGTAGTTTCCATCCACTTAAATTCCCCCCTCCCCCTCATTATTTAAAACTCAGCTTAAGGTTGTAATGGGGAAGACAGTGGAGTAGGTACGCTGGAAGACTGGGATGAAATGAACCAAAATGTCTTCATCTGATCCTCTCTTAAGTTGTTTTTGAACCTCATGGAATTGGCTCATCCTCTTAAAGGGGACAGGCCTTGTGTTCTCATTGGTGAGAAAAAGTCACAGGAATGCCAAAGAGGGGACCTTAATGCCAGCCTCCCTTGTTGTTTGGTACCTCTGCAGTAGTGCTCTCTAATTCCAGATTCAGACCAGAACATTTTGTACCTTTCATTTAATTTATTCCCTTTGTGTTGAAACAATCTGGTCCCCATCTCCTTTGTTGTACCATTGCCAGTGAAATGCTTCTTATTTGGTTCGCCAACAATAGGAGTGATCAAAGAGTTTTGTGACATTTCTCTGTATCTTTTTCTGCTAATTGGGGGAACAGTAATGAACACTGAATGCATTAACAACAACAACTTGCACTTACATAGAGCCCTCCGTGCAGGTTAGCATCTCAGAGTGCTTAAAGTGGTGCAGTTAGAGTTAATGTAATAGCCTTCCCACTAAATACAATTTATTTCCATAAAGAATTCCCAGGTGCCTCCCTTCAACAGTCTCCGACTAATTTGTGTTTCTTAAGCATTTTCTTAAAACCACACATTCCTACTTTGTGCCACAGTCACTTGGTCTGTGGATCAAGATTGTGAACACAAGTGAATTACACTATTAATCCCTAAAGCATGAGCTGCAATGTTTGTTTACTAACCAAGTAACCATCAACTTTCTTGTTCAGTCAACTGGAGTAGGTCATAAGATGGGCGGCATTTTTTATAGGATTTAAATTGACTGTATAATGAATAGCCTTTCGTACAATATTGGAGTTAAATATTTAACTTGCAATTTAATTAACAAGATCATGGCGATTTAAAAAAAAATGCGTTATTGTTGAGAGACTCGTGATGAAATGTTGTGAACTTCACCTCCTAATTACTGTAAGGGGATAACCTATAAACTGGGCTTTGTTCTTGTTTGGCTTTTACTTTTGATGTTGCATTGCTTCTTTTGTTTAATGTTTAATGTAACCATGGTTCAGAACAAAGCAAATGAGACTTTGGTGGTGGGCAAGAAAGTGCTTTACATAGTTGTTTAGTTCTTTTGATGTGTTTTTACCCTTGCAGCAAAAGTATTTGGAAGCCCTTAACGCAGAACAGGTACGAACGGATCCTACTCACTTGATACTGTACTAACCCAAAGGGGTGGGCAGTTTACCCTTGTCATTCACTAATGAGGAACAACAACAACAACTTGCATTTATACAGCGCCCCCCCCTCCCACGCAGGGTACTGTCTCAGAGCGCTTAGAGAGTATCCTTTTGACCAATTTTAAAGCTTTCTAAAAGTGTCTTTTTTTTTCTTAAGCAAACAATTCTATAAAAAAGCATTTTTAATAAGCTGTTTAAAATCTAAGGAGATGCGACTATTTTGGATGGCGTGTTTCACATCATTTTATATATGTGTGTGAATATATGTAATGTATCCATGTAGGATATTTAATGGCGTTGTGCAATGCTGAAATGTCAAGTGAGATGAAATGTCTAGCTCGCTTGTATTTATTGTCATAAAACTTAACTCATTTCCAATTTCTAGCATGTCAAAGCGTGCTTCCTTGTTCGAGGCCAGCCATTCATTGCATTCCTGAGGTCTGAGATTGCACGATCACAATTTTTCCTTTTGTTTCACTTCAATTACGTGAAATTGTGACGTCAGCAATTTTAAAGTTAATTCCTAGTAACATCAGTCACCATTTTCCACAGGAGTAGACTGTCTCTCCAATCTAAGCTACAAATCCATTTTTTTTCTTTCTTCAAAGGAGTGCAGGAATATAATTAGTGCAGAGAACACTCCTCTTCGATTTAATCACATGTTTTACAGTGTACTCTTTTCATAAATTAATTGGCTGCCGAGTTTTGCCCACAAAATATACAGTCACTACACATTCAAGTATATTCTGTGAAGCGCTTTGAGACCTCTCAATGAAGTGATAAGGCACTACATCAAATACAAGCATTATTATTATTATAAATCAGTTTTTGTTTGGAACGTCCTCTATTGCGCTGCAAATATGTAAATACTTTATGTATATTTTAGACTAGAGCACTAAATTATTTTCCATTTTCAAAGAATGTTCATTTTAATAAGTTTTTTTTCCACCTATAAAGGGGAAGCAAGAGACATGAGCTGGACTACAAGAAGAAGATCTTTTAAATAAAGAGTTAAATCTTGTGGTCTTGAGATTTCCCTTCTAAGTTTATCTTTCAGAATGGTAGTTTGCTTTTACAGTGAATAATAATAATAATAATAATCATTGCATTTGATATAACGTTTCATCACGTCTTCGAGACGTTTCAAGGTGCTTTACAGAATATACTACAAAGTGAATTGACTGTATATTTTGCGGGCGAAATATGTTTTAACGGTTCAGTCCAGGGGAGAAAAAAAAAGCAAAATGCACAGAATAGAACCACATTCCAATCTGACCTGCAATTGGAGAAGTGATGCGCGGAAATTTCAGCTGTTAAACAATAAGGTGAGGGAATCCTTTTGAAACGTGGCTGTCTTTCCTGTTTCACAGTGGGACTTTGAAGATTTGCCTCAAGACTGGAAAGTGACAAGCAGGCAACAAGAAAATATCATCGCCCGTAGCCCAGGCCGTCTGACTATGTCACAGGTCACAGTTCAGCCTCCGGGCAGTTCAGTATTCAGTATGTACCCCTTGTCTGTTATCTCTCCACCACCAGCAACTGACCTCTGGTTCTGCCATGCTGACACCACGATGAGCGAAGAGAAAGCCTCGGCAATATTGGCTGAATATGAAGAAGAGGTTAAAAGAAGTGGAAGATGACGGGGGTTGGGGGGTGTGTTGGGATGGGGTGGGAACAAACATGAATATGGCAGTTTTTTTTAAAGACAAATGTGATGACTTGTGAAAAATGTTTGCGTTATTTAACACGATTCAATAAAGTACCACGTAACAATGCAGCCATGTGATATTTACTCCCATTTAGATTCATTTAGATTTTACATTCATTGTGAATAATTTCTTTTAAAGGAAGAATCGTTTCCCGTCAGTAATATGTACACAGTGCAATACTTATTTACTTGAAAGAGCCCTCTTTGAAATACACTTGCTTTTGACTTGCTTGGATATTGGGCAATACAACTGAAAGCTGCAGTATTCTGTGAAATGTGTTCCTGAATGTTTATTTCCTTTATAATATTTTATCAATTTTATTCCACTTTTCTTTTGCAATGTTATAAAAGTTTCTTGTACTTTTAGTAATGTGGTTGTTCGTTTGAGATGTGACCTATAGTAAGTGTAGTATAGCTTGGAAAAAACAGGCAACTTTGGATCTAAGGTTCACAAAGCTTTTCACTGTGTTGTGGACTAATCTATACAGAATTAATTGCTATCAACATCTCTATTATTGTAGCATGTGACTCCCAGGATAGTAGAAGACAAACAATCTGGACCTTGGTCTTTTTTCATCTAGCAATTCCTATGTTCCTATGTTCATGTTGCTGAACTGTTCTGAAATCTGCTGACACTGAATGACTTTGAATACTGTACAGTACACTGAATAATCACTGCTGTTGCATTCCAGTTATATCACTGGCTGTAATTGTTCTATTATAATGCTTTCTTTTGAGGGTTGTAAACAGGATTGATCAGAAAGATGCAAGTCATTTTAATCCATTGAAAACTACAATGGCAATTCTGTGTTAAATAATAAAGGGATATAACGTTTAATAATTTTGTTTATTATAGGAAGGAGAGTGATTTCATATTTTCTCTAATAGTTCAAACAAACGTTGGGTATGCAGTAATTCAAAGTGTGGAACATTAATGAATTATGAGGTGAATAATTACAATCACATTGTTATAGCGTTGTGAAAGCACTTTGAGTCATTTCGACAACAACTTGCATTTATATAGCGCCCCTCACGCAGGATAAAATCCCAGAGCTCTTTTACCAAGGACAACTTGATAAGGACAACTTAATTAAATACAGGGAATATTATTTGTAATGTATGACGTGTTAACAGACGAGTTAAAAACAATTAGGAATTTTTTCTAGTTGCTCTCTTAGCTACACACTGCTTGCTGCAACTTTGGACAGCTGTTTAGGGATATTCTCTGATCTGGAAGGCCAAACAAGTGCACGGTAAATTTAGACAGGAGGAGGGAGTTCAGTTCAACAATCAGTGAGTTCCAAGCATATTTCATTCTCATTCTCATTCAGCCACGACATTATTCATTGATTCAAGCAGTTGATTTCCCTGTGATTTTACTATTTGTCACGGTTACTGTACATACAGTATCATATAAAGGATATAGAATTAAAGTTAGTGGGAAATTAATAATGCAAAAATGCATTATGGAAGCAAGATGGTGCCTCACAAGAGGTTTAAAAATCTTAATTAAAAAAAACACACATGCTACATTTTCTGAATGATTGTTTCGCTGTGGTCAAAAGCTGCATTTTACCTTCAGATCATAACATAACTGGGTCCACACCTCCGCTTACCTAGCAGTAAGTAGGAAGTCGCTCGTTAGTCGATTGGCGGATCGCTTTCTGGAGGTAATAATCCCTCCAAAAAAATAATAATAATGTGGTCACTCAATGTACGACTGTTTGCGGGACGTCGCTGTGCACAATTGGCTGCTGTGTTTCGCCCACAAGGCACACAGTCACTACGGTTTACAGGTTATTCTGTGAAGAGGTTTGAAACATTTCAACAACATGATAAGGCGCTATATCAAATGCAAAGATTATTATTATTATTACTGTATCTAGGGCCAAAGAGCCTTCTTCTTCCGGTCTTATGATCTTGTGTGACCTTAAAAAAAGGGAAAGGACTTTTCAGCTTTTTCAATGAGAGTTTCATGGATTCCCCACAAGGTGGTGGTAAAGCAACATGTAAAAAGAAAGGATCAGATCAAAGGTTCCACATGAAATGGTAAATTAAGCATTTGTGTTCATAGCTAATTAGAAACGTTTTACACAGGATTAACATTGTTGGTGATCTGAGGTGTAACGTAGCAATGAACAATACAAGTACAAGTAAATAATGCTGCAATCTTAGAAGTACTTCAATAGCTGCTTATTGCAAGCAGTGGCAATCGGTATTGTCATTGTCAAATGCTGGGTCGTAGTGCGTTCATTGATTGAAAGGAAATGTACTGTCACTTCAGCCATTCTGCACTGTACCCACTGTACTTGTACAAGTATGTTTCAGACATAAACGCTGAACGAAAAAATTACAATGTTAAAATCAGATGTGAGGCTGACTCTGCCGGTAGTACTCTCAGCTCTGAGACAGAAGATTGTGCGTTCAAGCTGCAAGCCAGGACTTTGAAAGCGGGTGTTCTGCTTTGGTGCAGGAGCTGTCCTTTGGATGAGATGTTAAATTGAGGTACTACCTGCCTGTTCAGGTGGATGTTAAAGATCCTGCGGTGCTATTCGAAAAGAGAAGGGAGTTTCTCTTTTCCCGTGGCCTGGCTATCAATCCCCAGATAAAACTGGTCAATCACTTCATGGCTGTTTGTGGTGTGCAAATTGGCTGCCGCATTCGCGTACAAAATACAAAGCCACTACTTGTTACAATAATACCATGAAGCGCTTTGAAACATCCTCCTCTCAAATGTAAAGATTACTATTATTTATTATTACTACCGTATTATATTTCTTGCAATCGACATAGCGCCTTATCACATCTCAAAGCTCTTCACAGAATATACTGTAAAGTGCAGTTACTGTATATTTTGTGGGAGAAACACGGTGGCCAATTGCGCATAGCAGTGTCCCACAAACAGTCATGGATTGAGTGACCAAATTATTATTTAATTTTTTTTAAGGAATCCGGCAATCGACTAATCGGCTAGGTAAACAGGAATGTGGTGTAAGGAAACTTGCCCAGTTTTGCCCTGCCTGAGAATCGAACCCGGGTCCTCTCGCTTGTGAGGCAAGTGCTCCAACCACTATGCTACACGACTCCAATTGTGTACAGTGTTACACAAGAGATGTGCCAGCAAAGCCATGAAACTGGTTGCCTTATCAGCTTTTTTTTTAAAAAAAAGACGTCAGTGAAAAGTAGGACACTATTCTTGTTTCAAAACAGGTTTTGTTTGTGTATTTTGTTTAAGGAAGAGAGCTTATTTGCCCCAATAACATTCGCACCAACAACTGTACGAAACCAGAATGGCGAAAGACCATCTATTGATCTCACTTTGCTGAACCTGGTTTAGATAAGTGTAAAAAAAAGGTCCAAGTGCACACATTTGGCAGCTATCTTGGCTTGGGGCCAAAGATCGAGTAAAAAGACATTTATAAATAAGTATTACCCATTTCCTTTCGGCACACTTCCACCAGAAACATAAATTTAGTGAGTACCCAAGTACAGTGTTGGGGCTGGAAGATTGTGTTTAATAGAACAACTTATTCATAAGTTTGAAAGTAATCATTCACTTGTTTCAGTTTTTCTCTTCAACCGTGCCTTCAGCTCCCCTCTCGACTCTCTACCCCCTCCTCGCTCCCTCCCTTCCCTCCCCTCACCCTGACCATTTCTCCCCTGCTCGGGTCCCGACCCAACTGTCCAGCGCTTTGGGACGTCCTCCCGACGTGAAAGGCGCTCTATAAATGGAATCTTGTTGTTGTTGTAAATGAGTGTATATGGGCGTTTCTCACAAAGTTATGGCCAATAATTCCCACCAAATTTGTCAACAGTTCATGGCTGTTTCTCCTGACTTGAAAGGTGCTATATCACATGTAAGTACTGTTATCATTATTATTATTATTATTATTAGTAGTAGTAGTATTTTGGGCTAGATCAAATTCTAAAATATGCCACCCAATCCAGCTTGAAATGATCAATGTCAAAATGATTCCTGGCTTCCATGCAAAAATTTACCCCACAAAATATACAGTCAATTCACTTTACAATATATTCTGTGAAGCGCTTTCAGGTGTCTTGAAGATGTGATAAGGCGCTATATCAAATACAAGTATTATTATTAAAACATATCAGTATTTGACAATAAGACCAAACAAGTTATTCTAACCTTATACAGAGCATGACTGAGCCCCCATTGATGTGTGCAATTGTGTTGTCAATGTTTGACAGAATTGGTTTCAATATTAAATAGCACTTGGATGAGAGTGTATTTTAAGGATGAATTGCAGTTTGAAGAATGCTGATAGGATTATAAACCTGGAGAATAAATTTGAGTACTCGTGAAGTTTTGCAATTTTGCAACTCCTTCATCCAATTCTACTTGTTAACCCACCTCTCCTCATTAAATGTGACCGTTTCAGTCTAATGTACTTGCTTATCACCCACACAGATGTCTCACACTGTGTCTCTCACACTTTTATAGTATGCCTCTACTCACGATGCATGTGAATCTCCCTCATTGTATCTGTCTCTCTCACTGTGTGAGGCTGCATGTTTCTCACTATGTGTCTGTCACTATGTGAGTCTGTGTGTGTCTCACCCCACACCTGCGCCATGATCCGCTTTGCCTTCCCCCACCTCTGCAACATCGCCCGGCTCTGACACTGCCTCACACCGCAGGCTGCCAAAATCCTCATACACGCCTTCATTACATCAAGGCTCAACTATGCAAACTCACTGCTTGTCACCTCTTTAACTCCTCTCTCCACAGGCTGCAGATCATCCAGAACTCTGTAGCCCATGTTCTCTCCCGCACCAGGCTCCGCAACCCTATCACCCCCATCCTTGTCCAACTCCACTGGCTTCCCATCACACAGAGGATACAGTTCAAGATCCTGGTCCTCGCCTTCAAAACCCTCCATTGTCTTGCTCCCCCCACCTCTCCGACCTCCTAACCCCCTATGACTCTGTTCGCTCCCTCCGCTCAATGGGCTCCGGCTTGCTTCAGGTCCTCCGTCTTGCTCACCCCACAATCGGCAGGCGGGCCTTCCACCCGCGACTCTGCACCCATCCTCTGGAACTCCATCCCACAGTCCCTCTGTCTCGCCCCCTCCCTCGCCACCTTCAAGATGCACTTCAAGACCCTCCTCTTCAACCGTGCTTTTGATCTCCCTGCTTCCCCCCCTGCTCTCCACCCTCCCTCACCCGGACCTCCAGCTTGGGTCTGTAACTCTGTCTGTCCAGTGCCTTGGGATGTCCTCCTGAAGTTAAAGGCGCTATATAAATGTCATTTGGTTGTTGTTGTTGTTACTGTATGTCTGCCTGTGTGCATATCTCTGGGCATGTGAATCTCTCGCACTGTGTCATTTATTTAAAGCGCTCTGAGACGCCATCCGGCGTGGAGGGCGCTATATAAATCCAAGTTGTTGCTGTTGTTGTATGTGTAAATCTCTGAATGAATCATGGATCATGTGTGTATTAGTCTTTCAGATTGTGTGAATTTGAGTGTGTAACTGTGAGTCACTGTGTTTGTGTGTTCTCACTGTGTATGTGTTACTATGAATCTTTCCGTCACTGTGTGAGTTACTAAGTGTGTGTAAGGGAATGTGTCTCTTTGTATGTGATAGTGGGTGTCAGTCTCTGTGTGCGCGCGTGTCACTCTATATGTAAGAGCATTTGTGAGGATATGTCACTCTGCATCAGTATCTGTGAGAGCATATGTCACTTTGTATGTCACGGCGTGTCTGAGACTGTGCGTGAGGGTGTGTGGCACTCTGCATCAAGACGTGTGCCAGTGTGCATTGGTCAGACCACATCTGGAGTACGGCGTTCAGTTTCGGGCACCGCACTTCAGGAAAGATAATAATGGCTCTGGAGGGGGTGCAGTGCAGATTCGCCAGAATTATACCAGGGCTCAATCAAGAGGACATGTTGCGTAAACATGGTCTCTACTCTGTTGAGTTTAGAAGGTTGAGGGGTGAGCTGATTGAGGTGTTTAAAATAATAATGGGATTGGAAAGGGTAGACACAGAGAAACTATTTCCTCTGGTGGGGGAATCCAGAACAAGGTGGGGGTGGGGCACATCATTTTAATATTAGAGCCAGGCCATTTGGAAGTGAAATTAGGAGGCAGTTTTTCACCTCCTGTGGAAATCTCCCTCCCCCAAAAGGCTTTGGATTATTTGTGGAGTCCTGTAGCTCAGTGGTTAGAGCACTCGAGAGACCTGAGTTCAATTCCAGGCAGAGGGCGAAACCTTGGGCAAGTTTCCTTACTCCACACAGAGCCTAATAATAATCCCTCCAAAACCAAAAACAATAATAAATTGGTCATTTTCAATCTACGACTGTTTGTGGGACATTGTTGTGCGCAATTGGCTGCCGCGTTCGCCCACAAATATACAGTCAATTCACTTTACAGTGTGTTCTGTGAAGCGCTTTGGGATGTCCTCCCGATGTGAAAAGCGCTATATAAAATGTAAGGATTATTATTATTATTATGGTTGGATCCATTCACATCTTATAGACTGAGGAGAGATGTTTGTTAGGTCAGAGTGCCAAGTGATATGGGGCAAGGGCGGGTAATTGGAGTTGAGGTACAGATCGTCCATGATCTTACACTCTGTGTGTGACGGTCTGTGTCAGGGTATATGCCACTCTTTGTATCCATGTGTGTGTCAGGGTGTATGCCACTCTTTGTGACTGTGTGTGTATCAGGGTGTATGTCACTCTTTGTATCAGTGGGTGTGCGTCAGGGTACGTGTCATTCTTTGTGTCAGGGTATATGTCAGTGTGCATGTCACTCTTTGTGTCAGGGTGTGTGTCTCTCTGTGTCAGGGTGAGTGTCTCTTTGTGTGTCAGGGTGTGTGTCAGGGTGTGTGTCTCTCTGTGTGTCAGGGTGTGTGTTCCTTTGTGTGTCAGGGTGTGTCTCTCTGTGTGTGTCAGGGTGTGTGTCAGGGTGCGTGTCTCTCTGTGTGTCAGGGTGAGTGTCTCTCTGTGTGTCAGGGTGTGTGTCTCTCTGTGCCAGGGTGTGTGTCTCTCTGTGTTTCAGGGTGTGTGTCAGGGTGACCTCTCTGTGTGTCAGGTTGAGTGTCTCTCTTTGTGTCATGGTGTGTGTCTCTCTGTGTGTCAGGTTGAGTGTCTCTCTGTGTGTCAGGGTGAGTGTCTCTCTGTGTGTCAGGGTGAGTGTCAGGGTGTGTCTCTCTGTGTGTCAGGGTGTGTGTGTCAGGGTGTGTGTCAGGGTGTGTGTCAGGGTGAGTGTCTCTCTGTGTGTCAGGGTGTGTGTCTCTGTGTGTCAGGGTGTGTGTCAGGGTGTGTGTCTCTCTGTGTGTCAGGGTGTGTGTCTCTGTGTGTCAGGGTGTGTGTCTCTCTGTGTGTCAGGGTGTGTGTCTCTCTGTGTGTCAGGGTGTGTGTCTCTCTGTGTGTCAGGGTGTGTGTCTCTCTGTGTGTCAGGGTGTGTGTCTCTGTGTGTCAGGGTGTGTGTCTCTCTGTGTGTCAGGGTGTGTGTCTCTCTGTGTGTCAGGGTGTGTGTCTCTCTGTGTGTCAGGGTGTGTGTCTCTCTGTGTGTCAGGGTGTGTGTCAGGGTGTGTGTCTCTCTGTGTGTCAGGGTGTGTGTCTCTCTGTGTGTCAGGGTGTGTGTCTGTCTGTGTGTCAGGGTGTGTGTGTGACTGTGTGTCAGGGTGTGTGTGTGACTGTGTGTCAGGGTGTGTGTCTCTCTGTGTGTCAGGGTGTGTGTCAGGGTGAGTGTCTCTGTGTGTCAGGGTGTGTGTCTCTCTGTGTGTCAGGGTGTGTGTCTCTGTGTGTCAGGGTGTGTGTCTCTCTGTGTGTCAGGGTGTGTGTCAGGGTGTGTGTCTCTCTGTGTGTCAGGGTGTGTGTCAGGGTGTGTGTCAGGGTGTGTGTCTCTCTGTGTGTCAGGGTGTGTGTCTCTCTGTGTGTCAGGGTGTGGTCTCTCTGTGTGTCAGGGTGTGTGTCTCTCTGTGTGTCAGGGTGTGTGTCTCTCTGTGTGTCAGGGTGTGTGTCTCTCTGTGTGTCAGGGTGTGTGTCTCTCTGTGTGTCAGGGTGTGTGTCTCTCTGTGTGTCAGGGTGTGTGTCTCTCTGTGTGTCAGGGTGTGTGTCTCTCTGTGTGTCAGGGTGTGTGTCAGGGTGTGTGTCTCTCTGTGTGTCAGGGTGTGTGTCAGGGTGTGTGTCTCTCTGTGTGTCAGGGTGTGTGTCAGAGTGTGTGTCTCTCTGTGTGTCAGGGTGTGTGTCTCTCTGTGTGTCAGGGTGTGTGTCTCTCTGTGTGTCAGGGTGTGTGTCTCTCTGTGTGTCAGGGTGTGTGTCAGGGTGTGTGTCTCTCTGTGTGTCAGGGTGTGTGTCTCTGTGTGTCAGGGTGTGTGTCTCTCTGTGTGTCAGGGTGTGTGTCTCTCTGTGTGTCAGGGTGTGTGTCTCTCGGTGTGTCAGGGTGTGTGTCTCTCTTGTGTCAGGGGTGTGTGTCAGGGTGTGTGTCTCTCTGTGTGTCAGGGTGTGTGTCTCTCTATGTGTCAGGGTGTGTGTCAGGGTGTGTGTCTCTCTGTGTGTCAGGGTGTGTGTCAGGGTGTGTGTCTCTCTATGTGTCAGGGTGTGTGTCAGGGTGTGTGTCTCTCTGTGTGTCAGGGTGTGTGTCTCTCTGTGTGTCAGGGTGTGTGTCTCTATGTGTCAGGGTGTGTGTCAGGGTGTGTGTCTCTCTATGTGTCAGGGTGTGTGTCTCTCTGTGTGTCAGGGTGTGTGTCTCTCTGTGTGTCAGGGTGTGTGTCAGGGTGTGTGTCTCTCTGTGTGTCAGGGTGTGTGTCTCTCTATGTGTCAGGGTGTGTGTCAGGGTGTGTGTCTCTCTGTGTGTCAGGGTGTGTGTCAGGGTGTGTGTCTCTCTGTGTGTCAGGGTGTGTGTCAGAGGGTGATGTACTTCCGGTGGTTGGCGGCGGGAGCGCGGCCTCCTGGGAGCGGAGGGCAGTAACGGTCGGTGCGCGCGGCGGTCGCTGCGTCTCGAGCGGCATGTGATCGCCGGGCGGGACAGCGGCGGCGGTGAGTGTCCGGTCCCTCTGTGTCTCTCATTACCGTGTGAGGCGGAGGCGGGTGTGTGTGTGTGTGTGAGAGGGGAGAGTCAGGCGGCCATTTCTACCGCCGGTATCTAACCGCCGCCCCTTCAGCCTCTCTCCCTCTCCTCTCCTTCCTTCCCTCTTTTCCACTGAGAGTCTCTTTATTTTACCTTCTCCTCTCCTCCGGGCAGTGGAGACAGACAGACAGACACAGGTTGCCTCGCCTCGGGTTTCACGGCATCATTTTTTTTGAATGGTTTTACTGTGTGTGTTGCCGGTTGCTCCCCCCCCCCCCCCTGCCGGCCCCCCCCCCTGCCGGTTGCCCCTCCCCCCTGCCGGTGCCCCTCCCCCTGCCGGTTGCCCCCCCCCTGCCGATTGCCCCCCCCCCCTGCCGATTGCCCCTCCACCCTGCCGATTGCCGGGCCCCCCCCTGCCGCCCCCCCCCCCCCCCCCACCTGCCGATTGCCCCCCCCCCCCCCTGCCGGTTGCCGGGCCCCCCCCCCTGCCGGTTGCCGCCCCCCCCCCTGCCGGTTGCCGGGCCCCCCCCCCCCCTGCCGGTTGCCGGGCCCCCCCCCCCCTGCCGGTTGCCGGCCCCCCCCTGCCGGTTGCCCCCCCCCCCCCCTGCCGGTTGCCCCCCCCTGCCGGTTGCCGGGCCCCCCCCCCCTGCCGGTTGCCGGCCCCCCCCCCCGCCGGTTGCCGGCCCCCCCCGCCGGTTGCCGGGCCCCCCCCCTGCCGGTTGCCCCCCCCCCCTGCCGGTTGCCCCCCCCTGCCGGTTGCCGGCTCCCCCCCCCCCCGGTTGCCGGCTCCCCCCCCTGCCGGTTGCCGCCCCCCCCCCCTGCCGGTTGCCCCCCCCCCTGCCGGGCCCCCCCCCCTGCCCCCCCCGCGGGTTGCCCCCCCCCTGCCGGTTGGCCCCCCCCCCTGCCGGTTGCCCCCCCCCTGCCGGTTGCCCCCCCCCCCTGCCGGTTGCCCCCCCCCCTGCCGGTTGCCCCCCCCCCCCCCCCCCCCCCCCCCCCCCCCCCCTGCCGGTTGCCCCCCCCCCCTGCCGGTTGCCCCCCCCCCCCTGCCGGTTGCCCCCCCCCCTGCCGGTTGCCGGGCCCCCGCTGCCTGTCTCCGCGTGTGTTGTACGTCTGTGTAAAAAAAAAACCCTACACACACGTCGCCTGAGGAGCGAAAGAGCCGCGGCTTCTCTTCACTTCTTCCCGCAATCGACCTTATTCCCCCCCCACTGTCTTGGTGTTTCTCAATGGATTTTTCGACGCCTTCCCGGACTGTACAATCAGAGGGTTTCTTTTTCTCCTTTACGCGCCCCTATCTCTTACCTTTACCCTCTCTCTCCTTTACCCCTTTCTCTCTCTCTCCTTTACCCCCTCTCTCTCTCTCCTTTACCCCCTCTCTCTCTCCTTTACCCCCTCTTTCCCTCTCTCTCCTTACCCCCCTCTCTCCTTTACCCCCTCTCTCTCCTTTACCCCCCTCTCTCCTTTACCCTCCCTCTCTCTCTCCTTTACCCCCCTCTCTCTTTCCTCTCTCTCTCCTTTACCCCCCCTCTCTCTCCTTTACCCCCTCTCTCCTTTACCCCCTCTCTCTCTCTCCTTTACCCCCTCTCTCTCTCCTTTACCCTCTCTCTCTCCTTTACCCTCTCTCTCTCATTTACCCTCTCTCTCTCCTTTACCCTCTCCTTTACCCCCCTCTCTCTCTCCTTTACCCCCCCTCTCTCTCTCCTTTACCCCCCCTCTCTCCTTTACCCCCCTCTCTCCTTTACCCCCCTCTCTCCTTTACCCCCTCTCTCCTTTACCCCCTCTCTCCTTTACCCCCCTCTCCTTTCCCCCCTCTCTCTCTCCTTTACCCCCACCCACTTTCTCTCTCTCTCTCTCTGCCTTTCTATGTGGCAAACACGCCATTTGCCCCCTCTCCACTCCCAGCAGCAGTCGGTTGTTCCATTAAACGTCTCCTGATATTGAATCCTGTTTCTCCCTCCGTGAGGCTCAGTCTCTCTCTCTCTCTGTGTTGCCAGTAACCCCTGTCTGCGTGGCTTCTGATGGTGGTGAAGTAAAGCAGCTTATTTTTATGTTGATTATCTTAGGCTCAATGATTATCCCAGCACTGAAACAGGCCATTCGGCTCATTAAGACCCACCACCCTGATGTTAGCTTTGCTTGCATCCCTGACCAAAACCTTGACTGACCCCTACACCCCCCCCCCACATCTATAACTTTTTTGCCCTTTAATATTCACTTTTTGGGTTCGATTCCTGGACAGGGCGAACGAAACGAAACACTGGGCAAATTTCCTTACTCCACATGCCTCCGTTTACCTAGCAGTAAGTAGGAACCCGGTTGTTAGTCAATTTGCGGATCGCTTTTCTGCGGGAGTTTTTCCAAACTCTGGAATATTCTTCCTCTGTCCCTCCACCCTGCCCCTTTCTTCCCCATCTTCAGGTTATGCCTGAAGACCTTCCCATTTGACTGTGCCTATGGTCCCCTCTCCCCGGCTCAAAGTCGTGCTCTGCCACTGTCAAGCGCTCTGGAAGGCTATCCTGCGTAAGGGGCGCTATATAAATGCAAGTTGTTGTAATAATCTCTTAAAAATAATAATAATGATTTGGTCACTCAATCCACTGCTGTTTGTGGGACACTGCTGTGCGCAATCGGCTGCCACGTTTCGCCCACAAAATATGCAGTCAATTCACTTTACAGTATATTCTGTGAAGCACTTTGAGAGTTTCAAAGATGTGATAAGGTGCTATATCAAATGCAAGGATTATTATTATGCTTGTATTCTGTCACAATGAGGCGAGCTGTTGTGCAAAAGTGGTTGAAAATGTGGAACTTGCACCCTTGTGCATGTTAATATGTTGTCAGGCACAAGTGCAGCATCTTATTGGGTCTTAGAGCAACACCCAAGTGGTTGATTTTCTTTTTAGTATGAAAATGTTGAGAATGGGCGGTAATTTTTTTCATGTCGTGTGAATCATAGTACGGTTAGAGACTTGAGGATTAGTTATATTCTAGAACATGCTGTGTTTAGACTATTTTATTTTCTCCATCTCTCCCAAGAGCAGTGACTCATGTGAGCTTACAAATTACTCAGACAGTGGTCATATTTCATTCCCCTGTTGAATTGGTCACTTTTTTCATATGTGAATCTAGAAGGTGAATATTTATTTATTAAGCAATCACAGCTAATCATGTATCTACTTTCAGGATGTTTAATTTTGCACTTTGATTATAATTTTAGTAGTGCACAGGAAGATATATATCCCATTAGCCGGCCAGCCCGAATAATAATAATGACTCGCATTGCTTTTCTCATTTATATTACAACACTGTGCCTGCAATCATTGTCAATGCTATAATATAAACTTGGGGACACTTGTCTGGAAATAATTATGACCACATCAACTGGAGGAACAGAATACTAGACAGCAAGGTGTCAGATCTATCCCACAGCTGCGTGTGTAGGTTTAGTGCTTTTCATATTTTTGTTGCCAGGGATGGGGCTGAACTGTCATGAATGTGGATTTTGCAGTGTTTCCCCCCAGAGATCAGGGAAGCTATGGCTACATAAATATGACATTTGAACATACATAATTGTTTTAGCTTTGCTCTTTTTTGAATTCCACCCCACATAGTGGTAGAGTGAATAAGATTAAAGGTACAACACTGTAGTTCTAATCTGAAGATACTAAAGTAATAATAATCCTTGCCTTTGATATAGTGCTTTTCACGTCGGGAGGACGTCCCCAAGCGCTTCACAGAACACACTGTAAAGTGAATTGACTATATATTTGTGGGCGAACGCGGCAGCCAATTGTGCACAGCAATGTCCCACAAACAGTCGTAGATTGAAAATGACCAATTTATTATTGTTTTGGGTTTGGGAGGGATTATTATTACTGGTTCTATTTGATGCTGGCTCTGCAGTATCCTGCAATATAAACAAGACACGTGTTGTTTAACCTCACCACCACCTCCCTATCTCAAACCTGTCCTTCCTTGCCAAAGCTCTGGAACATGTTATTGCCAACCAACTTTGCACACACCTCTCCCTCCACACCCTCTCCTACCCCTCCAGTCCGGTTTCCGCCCTGCCCACAGTACAGAGACAGTGCTGGTGAAGGTCACAAATGATGTCCTCTCTATCTGTGACCAGGGTTCCCTCTGCCTCCTCGTCCTCCTGGATCTCTACTGCGTTTGACACATTCGATCGTGCCATCATCCTTCACCGCCTGTCCTCCATCATCCACCTCAGTGGGACCGCACTCGCTTGGTTCGAGTCCTACCTTACAAACCGCCAACACTACATTTCTGCAAATGGCTTTTCTTCGAGCTTCCACCCGGTCACTTGCGGGGTTCCCAAGGTTCCATCCTTGACCCTTTCTCTTCCTCCTCTATATGCTCCCTCTCGGTGATGTCATCCGCAGACACGGGGTTAACTTCCACATGTATGCGGATGACACTCAACTCTACTTTTCCACCTCCAGCTGCGAACCCCAATCCCATGTTCTGTCAGCTTGTCTGTTGGACATCAGGAGCTGGATGAGCACAAATTTCCTGCAGTTAAATGTCAACAAGACGGAAGCCATACTCTTTGGCTCCCACCGACGTCTTCTATCCCATTCTGACCTCCTCAACCTACCCGACCTGTCCTTAAAACTCTCTGAACCCATACCCAACTTAGGCATCAGGTTCAATCCCCAGTTATCCTTCCTCTCCCACATCCAGTCTCTGGCCAGCACCGCTTTCTTCCACCTCCGCCACATTCCCTGTCTCTGACAATACCTCACCCCAAAAGCTGCTGAAACCCTTGTCTATTTCTTTGTCACCTCTTGGCTGGACTATTCTCCTTGCTGGTCTCCATTAATCATAAATCCAGCTCATTCAAAACTCTGCCGTCCGCATTGTCACCCGCACCAAACTTTGTACCCCGATTACTCCAGTCTTTGCCAAACTCCACTGGCTCCCTGTCAAAGAGCAGATCGACTTCAAG